CGGAGCCTAGCAGGTCGAGGCTGCGGTGGCCGGGAGTGGCCACTGCACTCCAGTCTGGGTGACAGAGTGAGACTCCAACTCAATAAAATGAAAATAAAATTCTGGATAAAAATTACAAATGCGTATATTTTTTACCACTCTCCATGAGACTTGAATCTAAAATAATGATGTTCTTCTTTCCACCAGGTTTTTGCCACAGAGGGTTTAAAGCTTACATCAAGTGTGCAAGCTCTTTCAAAACAGGTAACATATGTCTACTTGCCTGGTGCTGGTGGTGATGTCATCTATACCCATTTTAGGAGTATGTTATCAAGGTGGTAAAGGTATTTAAGTTGCAAAAGATGAAGTTTTGTTGGGTGTATTATAACTTCTTGAATTACATTTCAGCTGAAAGATGATGACAAGCTAATGCTTCTCCTGGAAATAAATAAGCTAATTCCTCTATGCCACCAGCTCCAAACAATAACTAAGACATCTTTGCAGAATAAAGTATTTCTAAAGGTAAAAGAGAGAGTGGGTTGTTCAAGTAGACACTTGAGAAATGTTCACTTTTCTGTATTTATCTGGTTAGCTCCAGCCCCTTTTTCTTTAAATAAAGCATTAACAGCCACAGGAGGGCAATTTATTTCCACTTTTCATGGCTTGTTTGCAAGAATCATTTTTTAAAAATTGTAACAGCCTCTTGTCCAAAAGAATCATTTATTACCTGCTGTTATAACTGACTCCATGTTCACTAAATAGTTAGCTTTCTGGACATGATTAATTCCATAGCACTGAGCAGCTACCCTTAAATCCTGAAGTCCCACCTTTGTAACTAGGGCACAGATGCCTCAGAATCTGGGCTCCATAATTTGAGGGACTATGGGCTTGTGCCCAAAAAGTGGAGTGCAAGGAATTGCAAAGTAGGGAATTCATTGCCAATGTTTGGAGTGTTTTGAGAAGCCCCTAAACAGCCTGAAATAGAACCATAGGTTTTCCACCCATTCTCCTTGGATTCTGTGAAACTGGCAGTAATCCCTGCACCTGTATCTGGGCCCACAAGTCAGCTCTTTGCCCTAATCTATATACCTTTCAAGATCCCTTAGATTTCCATGGTGTAGAAATTGTATCATTTAAAAACTAATTAAATGATAACCTTTTTTTTGAGTTGGAGTCTTACTCTTTTTTTTCTTAATAAATACTTTTATTTATTATGAAGCATAATTATTCACCTGTTTGTTGGTGAAGTCTCACTCTTGTTGCCAAAGCTGGAGTGCAGTGGCACGCTCATGGCCAACGCAGCCTCGACCTGCTGGGCTTAGGTAAGATCCTTTTGCCTCAGCCTTCCAAGTAACTGGAACTACAGAAGCACACCACCATCCCCAGCTAGTTTTTGTGATTTATTGTAGAGACAAGGTTTCACAAGTTGCCCAGGTTGGTCTTGAACCCCCAGGCTCAGGCAATCCTCTTGCCTTGGCCTCCCAAAGTGCTGGGATTACAGGCTGAGCCACTGTGCCTGAACTTTTTTTTTTTTTTGAGACAGAGTCTCACACTGTCACCCAGGCTGGAGTGCAGTGGCATGTTCATGGCCACCACAGCCCTGACCTGCTGGGCTCAGAAGATTCTTTTGCCTCAGCCTTCCAAGTAGCTGGGAATCCAAGTGTGTGCTACTATGTCCAGCTAATTTTTTTTTTTTTTGATTTAGCCCTCTATGAGGGCTCTCCAGGTTGCCCAGGCTGGTCTCAAACCCGTGGACTCAGGCAATCCTCTCACCTTGGCCTCCTAAAGTGCTGGGATTATAGGTGTGAGCCACTGTGCCTGGTCTAACTTTTTTTTTTTAAGTATAAGCTCCATTTTATTTTTTTCCAGAAGATAATTGTTTTTCAGTCCTTAAGGACTCAGCTTCTTACATGAGCTTTGATGGAGGTCATCAAAGACCCCGAAAATCTAATTCAGGGTGGGGGTGTCCAGTCCTTGCGGACTTCATGAGATTGATTCCTGATTACCTTTCTGTGAATGGCACACGCAGCTTCACATACAGCTTGGGAAGTACATAGTGCCAAAGACACTCACTTCAGAAATGTCCCTGACAGCTGCGGCCTCCACTATGTTTTGAATGACACACTTCTTAATAGCCTTATCCTTGGGCACACATGGGGTGCAGTTTGTGCAGTGAATGGGCTGCACATGGCTGTGGCCCTTTTTGGCATGCCCATTGTTCCTTCTTTTCTTTGTCATCTTGGAAGCAAGGACCCAAAAGAAACTTTCTTTAAAGTACCACTTTTAGAATATAATTTGCATGCTTTCTGTCACTATAGGTTGACAAGTATATTACAAAGGCACGATCCATCATGGCTCTCTTGGTCCAACTTCTTTCACTTTGCTATAAACTGCTGAAGAAGGTGAAGTAGTTTTTCTATTTTAAATTCACATTTAAAAATTGGCTTAAAGGAAAATGCAAAATAAAGTAATAGTTACTATTTAACTTTACAGTGTTAAGCAGATACTAATTATTTTAACTCTTTCCAGCTTCAGATGGAAAATAACAGATGGGTCTCAGTTAATAAAGACACTGTGAATGGTAAAACTTGAGAAACTTCTGGGGTCAGATATCTGGAACGTCATGTGACAAAGCTGACATTTTTGAAAAGCAAATGATTCTTCATCTCCAGAAATTCAACGATTTTATAAAGAAAATACGGAAATGTTGCTTTATTTTCTGATCATGAAACTGATTGTAAAACTTTTTGACGACTAATAAATGCTATAGTAGTTGTTAGAATTCTAATTGCAGTGTGATTTTAAAATGGAACACTGTACTAAAAATGTTCTTTAAAAGTCAAACCAAATATCCCAACTGTCTTAATGACAATTTAATCCAAAGAAGATATTTTGAATGTGTGCTCACTTTTGGCACATTTTTACCTTATGCTTATCATCTAGAACAGCAATTTCAGCAGAAAACATACAGTGGTCTGGGTGAAAGCAGGGTTTTCCTTAAACTTTTGGACTCTTCTTCAATGCCTCTGTTCACCAAGTGTGGCAAGGGCCTCTCTGACATCCCTCTGTCACAGATCATCTATGCTAGTAGCAAGAGTTTGTTCTCTAATAGTGTTTCACATAGACAGGGTTATCTGTTGTGCTGTGTGTGTCCCTCCTCTACTCTCAAAGCAGGGTAATGAACTCACTCCACAGAACTCTGAAGCAACTTCTGGAAGATATGAGATGGCTATCTTTGGTTCTAGTTCTAGCATAGCTGGTTGGTCTGAATATTAGCTGGAATTCCAAGCCTATCTTACTTACTGCCTTAAAAAGTATTTTGAAACATCTTTTTCACTGTCGATTGATGGAATGGAAGATTTTTTAAAAAGACAGAAAGCAATGAACCAAGAAGCTATTTAAATTCTAAATAATCTATATTTTTATGTATGTAGCTTTGAAATAAAAGACAGAGAATGATGGAACCAAAAAGCTATTTAAATTCTGAATAATCATATTTTATGTATGTGGCTTTGAAATGTTTATTATAAAGCAAATAAATATCTTTCTGTAGTCTTTTTAATTTTAGAGTTTAAAGCTTTCCTTGTTTTTGTGGGGTGAGTTTTGATTGAAAAATCTGGTTTATAGGTTTCTCCTTCTGGTATAGTATGGTTAACTTTGTTTTGGACCCCTTTCACAGTGTTTGTATCCTAATGCTTTGACGTTCATTTTGAAATCTAATAGGACATGTTAGTTGGATCAGTCATAATCAATATTCACAGAAGATCCTGAAGAACCACAGTATTATCAATTAGCTAGACAATATTTTGAGGAAACTTTTACTGTAGTCATTGGGGGGAAAAAGGGATGCACTCAGCTTGATTAATGGCCTTTACAAAATACTTGCGTAATCAGAATAATCAATCATGATTTCTCTGAAACCTAAACATTCTTTTAAACCGTAATAGAAATGATGGGAGAATGACATGAAGTAATGTTTATGTGAAATATATACAATTCTTGTATTATCTTTAGTGTCTTTGTTTTATGAAGTCTTTAGGAATCACTGTGCTACTCAAAGTGAGAATCTGCTGGTCTGTGCTTAAATTTCAGCTTATAGCACCATCACTGGAGGTATATAATGCCTGGTGGGTAATATTTAGGGGATAGTCATGCTGGCTGGCACTCAGGTTACAAGAAGTTTTTCGTGTGAACCAAAAATGATTTTTAAGATTCATTTACAAAATACTTTTACATACCTGAAAAAAGGAATATTCTCTTATGAGAGTGCAAGTGGGGGTGGGCAAGGGATAACTTAGGACTTCAACAGCATACAAGGACAGTGAACCAAGAGAATTTATGCATCAAGTGATTTATTCTGTATAAAAATGTATTTCATTTTGAAGCAGGGATATTTAAATATATGTATGTGTTTCAGCCCTTAAGGAAAAATAATGTACATCAATCTTAAACTACATATATGTATATATTAGTTTTAGTGATGCAAAACTTTGTTCCTTTCAAAGGTATTTGTACCTTTGAATGGCACAGTCTCAGTTACTTCTTTGCTGGTTAACCTGTAAACTAGAGCAAGTCAAACTGAATGACTACAACATGCATACTTCAAGAATCAGCTTACCACTGCATTATGACACATTCGTTTGCTAGGAAAACCTTTGTATTTTTCAGTCTTCATGTGTGCTCCCTCATTTAAGAAGTCACGGTGTTACAGGTCTACTCTGTTTCAGAGGGAACACCAACCTCTTGACATTAAGGAGAGAAGGTACTCTACACTCCTGCCTCCCCCTTACAATCTAAAGGAAGAGGAGTTGAGGCAGAATGGGTGAGACTAGATTTTTTGGTAGTATCACACTGAAGATTGGGTAATAAAGGTCAGTTAGGTTTTTCTTAATGTCAAACTGATAGGAAATTGAGGCCAGAACAATAACTATACCATAATGTTCAAACAGAAGTGTGTAAAAATGTAGTATATTTATCCAATGGTTTACGCAGGGGATTGGTTCCAAGATCTTCTGCATATGTCCAAATCTGTGCATACTAAAGTCCCACAGTCAGCCCTGTGGAACTTGAGCACATGAAAAGCTGGCCTGTCCTATACAAGGGTTTCACATTTAGCAAATACAATTATTTTTTATCAGTATTTGGCTGAAAAAAGTCCGTGTACAAATCAACCCTGATAGTTCAAACTCATGTTGTTCAAAGGTCAACTGTATTTACTTTTGAGTTATAGGATGTTGGGTAAATTATTTGTATTTGGTGTTTTAAAACTTTTCTGTATTTTCCAAATTTTTCGCAAAGAGCTTGCTTGCTCATTTTTAATCAGAAAAACATTCCTTGCTTGCTAGTTTAGTATGCAAGAGAATAACAAAATAAAAACATGGGCAGGCCAGATTTGGGAGGCTAAAAACAAATGGGAACGAACGCTCTTATGTGAGACAAACTAGGAAAACCCGGTTAAGGGAAGCATCAGGCCTTCCCTGCAGATGGGTGGGTGTGAAGTGTGCTTCACATATGCGGGTTCCTCTCCTTTAGTGCACTGATGGTTTTAGGCCAGGTAACTATAAGAATCCCTTGTTGCTTTTTGCTCTAGCTCAGTCCTCATGTCGTAGCTGTTATGGCATTAATGCGTTTCACCAGGACTTCTTCATATTGTTTTTGTGTCAATAACCCTTCTGTTATGCTTTTACTTTCTTCAAATTTGGGCAACACAACTGCAATGTAGCCTTCAGTAGATGGCTAGAAAGGAAATAGAATATTTAGTACTGACAAATGATTTTTTTCTTCCTCTCCTTCCCCCATCACCAAATGATTTTTAAAAAATCCAATAAAAGTATGTGGATAGAATCATACTTTTTCTCTTACCTTTTCTTGAAGAATAGATGGCTTATGGAGAATGTTTTCATTCACTTCCATCAACCGTCCTCTAACACAGCTATTTAAAAAAATTGTTTTTAAGACAAATATTATTTCCCTTGTGTTTCCTAAATAGTGGATAAAAATTTACTCACCTAGATATGGTATATTCTTCTCCATCTGAGCAGTAAATCTTACACAGAGGTGCAAGTTCTGTTAGAAACTGTGCCCCCTGTGTAAAGAGCAGTAAGAAGTAATTAATTGATGTACATTTCCACTTTGCTTTGAGAGGCAGCCCTCCATTCCATATTCCTGGAGTTGATGTTTCAAATAATGACTTAAATACATAAAAACCATCCACTGATTCCAATGCTTATATAATAAGTGCTATTATGTTCCAGGTACTATCCTAGGCTCTAGGGAAACAACCTGATTAAGACAGGTGAAAAATGGGAGTTTAGCTACACACTAGTAATATATTTTTATCAACTGTAAGAGAAAGCTACATATAACCACGTAAAATATTTTAAAAGTGTAAGAAAATCGATTAATAAGCAATAATATCTAATTCAGCATGACAGCAATATTGTACAAAGTTAGTTTCCTTAAAATTCCTACTTTATTTTTACAACAGCACTTAATAGATAAAGGATCTTATTTACTAGGGTCAGTCACTAAGACTTTGTTTTTTTTTGAGTTGGAGTCTCACTCTGTCACCTAGACTGGAGTGCAGTGGCAACGCTCCCAACCACCACAGCCTCGCCCTAATGGGCTCCAGAGATCCTTCTACCTCAGCCTTCCAAGTAGCCAGAACTACAGGTGCGTGCTACCATGCCTAGCTAGTTTTTGATTTATTGTAGAGATGAGGTCTCGCCAAGTTGCCCAGGCAGGTCTCAAACCCGCGGGCTCCCAAAATGCTGGAATTACAGGCTGGGCCACCAAGCCCGGCCTCGCTAAGACTTTTTGAAGAAGGGATATTTTCCTTTTTTTCTCTCCCTCCTTTTAAAAAATCTCCCCACAGAAACAAAGATCCGAGTATCACATGTTCTCACTCATATAATGGACCTTGAACATCCAATGTAATACTATAAGAAAATGACTGACGGTACTGGGAAACTATGGGGGGAGAGGGGAATGGGATTAACAGTAGCAAATATCTGTCTGGGGATGGGAAAACACTATTAGATGGCATTCAGATATTACTGAGTATTAGAGTCATTGTGAATCCCTGCTTTCTGGTAGGATGGATGGGGGATTTATCTCAAAGGGCTTGTTTACAACTGGGTTTGTCTCAAAAGACCAGAAGTATCTGACCGTTTTTTATCACCTCCCTTGGGAGAATAAATCATTGACAATTATAAGATCCAGCCAAAACTTAACTATAGTGAGTTCAAAATGCAGATCCCTCTCTGTTCTTCATTAGTAACAATATTATTACTACTATTTTGGACACAAATTTATCATAGGAACTTCACAAGCATTAACTGTTATTGTAATTTGTAGTTGTAACTTATAGACTCTCTCTTAAGAAAGGGCATGCTTTTTTAAGTCCATTTGTTTCTTGAGGAAAAATCAATAATTATAAGGCACATTAGGAGACTTCAGGCCTACAAAGGGGAGTATGAATAAAGGTTTCATAGAATATTGAGAACAATCCACAGAAATTCTTTTTTTTTTTTTGAGTTGAAGTCTTACTCTGTTGCCCAGGCTAGAGTGTGGTGGCATGCTCACAGCCACCCCAGCGTCGACCTGCTGGGCTCTGGGGATCCTTCCAAGTAGCCAGAACTACAGGTGCATGTTACCATGCCTGGCTAATTTTTGATTTATTGTAGAGATGAGGTCTCACCAAGTTGCCCAGGCTGGTCTCAAACCCGTGGGCTAAGGCAATCCATTCACCTCGGCCTTCCAAAGTGCTAGGATTACAGGCTGAGTCACCGAGCCAAGCTCACAGAAACTCAGTATGAATTCAGTAAGTGAAGAACCTAAACCATTCACAGAAACTTTCCCAACAATAGGTTTGTCAGGATACTTTAATATGTTACTCAATTGTCCTTGGTCTGATACTCTCTTTTAATAATTTCCATCTTCCCTAGAGTTGTAGAGGGTAGAGATAGCATTATGTATAACTGAGCACTGTGTGGAGGTATAGGATGTGGGTAGATGTGTATTAGATTGGCAATGCTTTAGCAATGGAAAAATAGTAAGGAGCAAACACCTTATGTTTTCTCATATTGATTTTTTTCCTACTCCCTCAGGATATATATTTTCTTCTGTTTAACTTATATGTAAAAATACATGGTAAAAAAATAGTTGGTCACCTAAATTTCATAGAACTCAAGATATTAATGTAATACATCTAGAAGGGACAAAATACCTTCTTATATTGGTATTAGAGTTGTCCTTTCAAAGGCCTGCCTTTTCCATCTTCCTTCCTGGACATAACAGGGATAGTGGTAGAGAACCTAATATAATAGATACTATACCTCCCAAAATACCTAACTTTTTTGGTCTGAGAATTTCTTCGGGGTTAAAGTATATTTAAAGTCAGCACCTCAAACCGCTAGAGAAGTATGCTGAGCATTTGTCACTGGGTTCTAAGAGTAACTGGATCTATCATTCTCATGAATATAGAGGATGTAAATAGATAATTCAGAATTACAGGAACATACCCGCTTAAATTTTCCAGAGACCTTGTTCTGAAGTCTGCTACAGTTGTTACTGATTTGATAGGAAATGCTTTTAATTGTTTTTCCACTTTGAAGAACTGGATGAGAACCTGCCAATGTGATGACACATATTCTACAAGGAGAAAAAAAATTGATCCCTTGTAAATGCTTGGTATAATTCTTCCTCCTATAACACATTCCTACTGGCACAAAAATGTATGAACTGCTATTTGTTTAGTCAAACTATTATCTCCTCCCTTTTTCCCTTGGAGCATAACTGTAACAGGATTGAATTTCCTTTACAGGAAAGGAAAGAGTACCAGAGGTTTTAGGTAGGCAGCACTGGTATAGAATAGAGACAAGCAAAGTATGCCTGTGTATGCTTCCTCATGGGCTCTGGCAGTTCAGTAATTAGGCACAAGCTGGCCACTTCAGATAGTAGCTGAATGATGGTGTGGTACTCCATTAAGACTTTTGGGTAATCAAATGTGTTCAAAGTGACTAAGCACTGGAAAACTCATTCTTGCCAGTCACACTCCTTTAATAATACTATTTCACCACGGTGGAGGATAATTTAATGAATTTTCACTTAATGATCAATTGTTTATTTAAAGACCATACCAGGCTAAAATACTAGAGGAAAAAAGTAAGTTTTTTATCATTTAAAATTACCAACTTGCTTACCGGTTAGAATGTTGTAGTATACAATGGTCCTCACAGGGTTTTCCTTTGACATCTAGAAGAATAAATGTGTCTGTTGGTTGTTGAATCAATATTCACTACCACTGTGTGGTACTTGTACTTTGGTTCATTGAGATAGTTAATTATGAAAATTGGATACACACATGCTGACCACTGCTATCTCTTCATTACACACCTAAAAACTTCCCATAAAGTATTTAAAGAGACCTGACACAGACAGAATCATTTATTCAATGTTAAGGTGATTAATTCTTTGCTTGGTCTTTACTTCCCAGTATTTTCTATTTCTAATAGAAATACCCGGTATTTCTGTTAGAGAAATACGATTAGCATCACATTCTTTATGATATAGCTTTATATTTTTTCTTGGTAGTTTCCAGGACTGTTCTGATTTTAGTGCAGAAAGTCAGGCATTCTGGGAAACCCCTCAGTCCTAAATTTGGTCAACAGAAAATATGCTATAATATTCTAAAAAAGTGAGTACACTCATTATCACTGAATGATAGGAAGAAAGGAAGGATTTGAAGAGTCCCCAAAGATGTCTCCACCCCTGGTACTGAGTACACAAAACAGTGCAACTGGAATATCTACTTCTAAGTGGCAAATGAACAACACTGGCGGCCTCTCATTAAGTAAAATTGTATATTTTGCTTTCTAAATGTAGCTAACATTCATACTGCCTCTACTTGAGTTTTTGCTAGTTTGTTTTTTTGAGTTGAGATGTCGCTGTCACCCAGGCAGGAGTGCAGTGGCACAATTACCGCGGCTCACTGCATTCTCGACCTCCTGGGCTCAGGCGATCCTTCTGCCTTAGCTCCGGAGTAGCGGGGACTACAGGGGCGTTTCACCAAGTTCACCAAGTTTAATTGTTGATTAACAATTAAAGAGGAGGTCTCACCATGTTGCCCAGGCTGGCCTCGAATTCCTGGACTCAAGCAATCCTCCCTCCTCAGCCTCTTAAAGTGCTGGATTATAGGTGTAAGCCATTGCTCCCGGCCTACCTTAGTTTCTATACGATCATTTAAACAACTTTATGTATTACTACTCCCTGTGAGACTGTCCCCTCAAATCCCTCTAGGCATTCAAGGTCCGTTGGAATACAGCTCTCCTTTTAGGCTACTCATCTTCCCGCAATCAACACGCACTCAAGCTCGCACTGCATTCGCCCTCTCTAGATACACCCGGCCGTATTTCAGGCCTCCAGGTCTTTGCAAATGCCATTCCCTCCGCCTAGAAGGAACACAGAGGTCCCGTTCTTCCTGACGTTGGGAGGAAGCGCCGGGGAGAGCGCGCTTGGCTTAGATCTGTCACTGTAGCAGCAGGTCAGTATGACAGAGCAGAGACCGACATCATTCCGCACTTACCGGCTTTGTACCAGCGAGTGAAGTAACGATCCACTAGCGACGGCACCACAGGCTCTGAAGCTTCGGGCTCGGTAGCCATGGCTACCTCCGGCGCGGCCACCCCCGCCTTCCCGGACCCAAGCGTTTCCTCCCAACAGGCCCGGGCACAGGGTGTTCTTCCGGCGCACACGCGTTGTGCGCACGCGCGCTGCTCTCTGCCCCCGCAAGCTCAGTCCATCGCCGCCAATTTGCTTGGGGTCCGACATCAACGAAGGGATCAAATGCAGTAGTGTGGGCAGAAGCTCGAGGGGACAAGAGGCGCTCACCAATGTAGCTTCTCTAACTCTTACCTTTCTGGGGCTATAGAGAAGGCCGGCCAACTCAAGCGACCTAGGAAGCCGCCCACTGCCCGACCTCGCCTTCTCAGCCTCGTGACGTAATTCCCGCGCCGCTCGGCGCGTGTCTGGTCTGTCTGGTTCGTGCGTTGCTGTCGCACCTTTTGCAGCTCAGCTGCTTCACTGTTTCCCGGTTCGGGTGACTCTACCTGTGGAGGCCTGGTGCATGCACCGTGAGGGCCAGAGAGGCGCGTACGCAATCCGAGCAGGCTCTGGGAGGCCAGCCGCGCGTGGCTTGGGGTCCTCAGGGCGGCTCAGTTAAGCGTTCGAGCGACCCATCCGGGGGCACGAGGTTGGGCCCTGTTCGTTCAGTTGAAGGGGACCCCACGGCTCCTCTGCTTGCCGCGGGGCCGGGAGTGGAGTGCTGCGTGCACCATTTTTTTCCTAGAGCGCCAAATTATCTTTTTGACAGCGGCTCGATCCGGGGGTGCTGCAGGGCGCGGCAGCCCGGAGATGGAGCGCTGCTCCTCCAGCTGCACTTAACCCAGCCTCCAGATTACTCGTAGGATATGGGTAATACTGCTGACAGCGAATGAATTAATTGACAGTGGAAGGTGATGGTTAATAGAGGTTCGGATGCTGTGGTGGGGTCCCTTCTCCCCTCCGACTTTTTCGGGGAGGTGGTGTCTCCTGTGCCTTTTCATCTTCTTTCTCCCGCCCTCTTTCCCTCCCTCCCTCCTTTCTTCCTTCCCTGTCGCCCAGGCTGGAGTGCAGTGGCATGCTCACGGCCACCGCAGCCTCGACCTGCTAGACTCAGGAGAGCATTCCGCCTCAGCCTTCCAAGTAGCTGGAACTACAGGCATGCACCACCACACCCGGCAAATTTTTTGATTTATTAGAGGTGACGTCTTGCCAAGTTGCCCAGGCTGATCTCGAACCCGTGGGCTCAGGCAGTCCTCCTAAAGTGCTGGGATTATAGGCAATGAGCCACCATGCCCGGCCTCATGTCTTCCTCTTAACTCACATTATATGTTGTATCATTTGTATCACACTTGAAATTATCTGCTGTGTACTGTAAGGATTGATTTATCTTTATTCTTTCAATGTCATGTATGAAATGCCAAGATTCGATAATTCACCTTGGGTTAAAGTGACAGTAAGACCATTGTCATCTGTGTAATTACCACCCCTAACATAAGTTGGGAACTTATAATCATAAATCTTAAAGGGATCTGAATATAACTGTCTGGCACTTTAACATTTGTTTTTTTCCTACTTAGATAATGTTATGCATTCAGGCAAGTCTGATTTTGCCAGATTGAAGTAGATGTCTTATTTAGCATTTCTTTTCTCACTTTTTTTATTGTCCCAGTAAAAGCCTGGCCAGGAAAACGAAATTACTGCAAGTAGTTTTGTCAGGTCGTCAAGCTCCTTGAAATGCTGGTCATCATTTTGAAATAAACCTGTCATTTCACAGTATCTTCTCCCCTGAGAGCAGTAAATACTTTTATTAATTTTTATCTTTGATTTTAATTTTAATTTTTTGTGAACATACAAACTCCGCTTATAAATAAAAGTACTTGGTGGGTATTAAAGTCACTTTATTCCAGATTGTCTTCAACTGCCAGTATATATACATTGGATTTTTTTATATAATCCTAATCAGTGGGATAACCTTTTGTTACTATGATTTCATAATCTAGCAGATTACAAAGATATCCTAATATGCAAAAATAAAATGTTTTCCCATTGATTTGTTATTTTTAATTTTCCCAATGAATAGCTGATGTGAAAATTTTTTTTGAAGAAAAAACTCTGAAGTTGAGAATCTTACTTCTCCTAAAGAATGAGAATATAAAATAAGTTTCAGAATCCTCAGTTTGTAGACCATAACTGTATATAGTGGGTCAGGTTGCTGCCATACATCTGTTTGTGGGTATGTGCTCAAAGAGGGAGCTTTTTTTTTTTTCTTAGTTATTTTAAGAAAAAAACCAAAAAACAAAAAAACTCCCACCTCTCCATCCCTGGAATTATTTTTCTTATATAAGCATGGTCATTTCTCACTATAAGCTGTTCTTTTCTTTCTTAGGGATTAATGCTTCATCAAGGGATATTTGTACTTTTCTCTTGGGAATTCCATCATCATGCGAAATTTGAAGTTACTTCGTACCCTGGAGTTCAGGGATATTCAAGCTCCAGGGAAACCTCAGTGCTTCACTCTCCGAACTGAACAGGGGACAGTACTCATTGGCTCAGAACATGGACTGATAGAAGTAGACCCTATCACAAGAGAAGTAAGTTACTGACGGAGAATACTAGCACTTGGGTATGAGCCTTAACTTGTCTTCTTCCAAACTTTCTTCCCCCGTATAATCTTTCTTTATGGCTTCTTGCATTTATATCTTACTAAATGTCTTTGCTTTGTATAGTTGCCATATTAGACATAGCTTAAATAATATTTATTAAATACCTTTAGCTCTGGTACTATTTTTAAGGTAAGTTGACAAAACTCTAACCATATATTTTGAGTAGGTGCCCTACCTTTTATCCTTTCTATCATGTAACTCTTCCTTATAATAGTGGTTCTCAACTGGAATGTCCATGAAAATTCCCCTGGAGCTTTTTTATTTTTTGAGGCAGGGGTCTCACTCTGTCATCAAGGCTGGAATGCAGTGGCACCATCACAGCTTGCCACCACCTCGACCTCTGAGGCTCAGGTGATCCTTCCATCTCAGCTTCCTGAGCAGCTGGGACTACGGGGCACATAACATCATGCCTGGCTGTTTTTATTTTTTTGTAGAGAAGAGATCTTGCTCTGTTACCTAGGTTGGTCTCAAACTCCTGGGCTCAACCAATCCTCCCACCTTGACCAATCAAAGTGCTGGGATTACAGACATAAGCCACTGCACCTGGCCTCCCTCGAGCTTTTTAAAAAATATGTTTGAGCCTCCAACCCATATCAACTAAATCAGAATTTTTAGTGGTAGATCCTGACCATATATACTTAAATTTTTTAAAATTATTTTTTTGTACAGATGGGGTCTTGCTATGTTGCTGAGACTGGTCTTGAACTCCTGGCCTCAAGTGATCCTCCTACCTCAGCCTTCCAAAGTGCTGGGGTTACAGGCGTGAGCCACTCTACCTGGCCTCATATATTTTAAAAGCTTTGTGGGTTGATTTTGATATCTTCCCTTACATTTTGCTATTAGTGTATTTTAGGTGATTACATTATTTTTCCTTATACTGTGGAAATCTTAGAAAATCATAGTTATTAGCTTTGTGTTTTATTGGACATTTTTAAATAGACCTGGCTTGATTTTGTGTTTGGCAAAAAGGTCACATTACCTGTTTTTCTTTTTTTTTAATTTAATTTAATTTAATTTTTTATTATAAAGATGTGGGGTACAATTCAGGGTTAGGTATACAAACATTGATTATGTAGGTACCCTTGTTAATGAAGTGTGCCCTCCCTCCTCTAGCAGTTTCTCTCAACAGCCACTTCCACCCTCTCTCCCCTGACAATTTCCTGCTACTGCCAATTCCTTTCTTATAGTATTATAATTGTTCAAGGGCTGCCTATGAGTGACCTGTTTTTCTTGTTAAAGATCATAGAGTTGTGATATTTCTCAAATGACAGAATTTTAATCTAGAAAAAAAGATTTTTAAAAGCTTTTATATTAGAAAAGAAGTTTTAAAAAATATTCTGTTCCTGGAAGTGTTATTAATTGTTCTTGAAAGTAATTTGCTGGTGTGTTTGCTTTGGTGAAAGGTGAAAAATGAAATTCCTTTGGTGGCAGAAGGCTTTCTCCCAGAGGATGGGAGTGGCTGCATTGTTGGTATTCAGGACTTGCTGGATCAGGAGTCTGTGTGTGTGGCCACAGCCTCTGGAGATGTCATACTGTGCAGTCTCAGCACACACCAGGTAAGTGCAAGAGTCCAGTGAGGATGAAATCTCAGGTATCCTCAAACAACTCACTTGTTTGTGGACGTTTTCAAATCAGTAGCCATAATATTTAAACTTTTACAAACTAGAGTCTTTGCATTATATATTTCTTTATTTAAAAAAATTATTGACATGGGTTTAGTTATACTTCAAGATTCTTCTAAAACACAATTATGTCTATTGCACCTATTAATAGGAAGAATCTCATTCCAAGTGAGAACTTAAAAAAAAACTGACCATTGTTGTGTTGATCATCTCTTATCAGAATCTTACCCTGAGTTGTAACATTTATTTTTCAATTTAGGAAGTCTTTGAAATGTTTATGTAGCTTATGTTTTCTGTTAAAAATGTTGATTGACTAACTTAAGAGTTGCTGGACTATAGGCATAAAAGTAATACATCATCATTACATATATATTTTAAGACTGCCAAGAGAGAGATTTCAACCAATTGCTTCTTTCTCTACTCTAGCATAAGTTGAGTTTTTGGATTTCCATCTTCATGTTCTTAATAGTAAGAGTTTCAAATTACAATTGATTCTTTTTTAATCTTCTTTGATTACTCCATTAGCTGTGATCTTTTAACATCAATTATGTCCCAGGATTTATAGTTTTGCTATTAGAGGAAAAATAATAGTAGCTTACATTTGTTCAATGTTTATAATGTGCCAGATACTTTTTCTCATGCTTTTCATGCAAATTCTTCTTCTTCTTTTTTTTTTGAGTCAGAGTCTCACTCTGTCGTCCAGACTGGAGTGCAGTGGTACACTCACAGCCACCGCAGTGTGTCCACCTACTGGGCTCAGGTGATCCTTCCACCTCAGCCTTCCAAGTAGCTGGAACTACAGGCATGCACCACCATGCCAGGCTAATTTTTTAATTTTTTTTTATTGTAGAGACAAGGTCTCGCCAAGTTGCCCGGGCTGGTCTCAAACCCATGGGTACAGGCAATCTTCTTGTCTCTGCCTCCCAAAATGCTGGAATTATAGGCGTGAGCCACCATGATAGCCTTATGAGGTTGATTGTTTCCCATTCTTCAGAAGAGGAAATTGAAGCACAGAATGCTTAAGTAACTAGGCCAAGATCACATAGTTATCAAATGGGGTTTGAACCCCAGCAGTCTAAACCTGGCATCTTTACTCTTAATCATTCCATGTAGTACAATAATAGCCCTTACTCTCAGTTCCTGGTAAGAAATATCAAAGCCATCATGACAACTTAATTAGTATTTCTCATATTTAAAAGATATATTATTGCTTTTAGAACATTTTGTAGAATTTTTCTTGATTAATGAGCTCTTCTAGTTCATTTATCTTCATTTAATGGTGCTGTTCCTGCCCCTTTGTGGCTTCTCAATTGTCTGGGACATAGAGTCCATATTCCTATTGTGCCTTATAAGATCTTTCACTATTTGTTCCTCAGATTCCTTTTTACCTTCCCTTCCCATTGTTCCTATGTGTATGTACACCTTATGCTCTAGTTGCAGCTGATGTTTGGCTGTTCTTTTTATGACTTTGTGCCTGAACACTGTTTTTTTTCCTGATCTGTCTCCTGCCCCTATTATCACTCTTTTTTGAAACACCACCTCAGAACAACTTTCCTGGACTTTCCTAGGCCGCTTGTCATTCCCTTCATTGAGACCCACTTTGCTTCCCAGAGATCTTGTTTTTCACCCTAACTCTTGGTAGTCTTATTTTTTATCTCCCTCATGAGACAACTCTGGGAAGGATAGGATGTCTATTTTCAGTCTTTGCACCTAATAACATATCTAATCTCTTGATACCTGTTACTAAAGAAATGTTTGAATAAATTCATGTTTATATGTTTGTTCTTATTTGTTTTGATTGATGTTGTAGTAAATTTTTCCTGAAACACTAGTGTTTTGAGTCTTTCCTTTCGATTTTCTCTGTCTCAGCTGGAATGTGTTGGGAGTGTAGCCAGTGGTATCTCTGTCATGAGTTGGAGTCCTGACCAAGAGCTGGTGCTTCTTGCCACAGGTAAGCTTGTCTCTGGTACCTAAATGATGTTTATAAAATATTACACCAAATACCTTATCAGCTTCAGTTATGGGTTGCTTAAGTTTCAAAAAATCCCTTTGAACAATGATACCAGTATTATAATGTAGCGTGAATGTGTTTTTTCTAACTTAAATTTCACCACGGTATTTTTTTTTTCTTTTTTCTTTTAAAGATGTGGGGTACAATTCAGGATTTGGTATACAAATGGTCATTGTACAGGTAAAGTTTGGGCCTCACTTTGGTCTCCACTTTACCTGGTTTGAGATCAGTTACCCTTTTAATGAAGTATGCTGGCATCCCCATCCCCCAGCTGTTTCCCATTGCCAATCCCTTTCCTATAGTATTATGATAATTGTTCAGCATCTGCTTATGAATGCAAACAGCATATTGTTATGAAAGTTGTTTCGTGTAACTTCTTCAGTCTTTGGGAGTGGGAAACAATGTCATAAAACCTGGGGAGGCTGTCAAGTCCATAATTACAGATTAAAATGTCAGCAGTATTTTATTTTAACCTACTCTAAGAGTTCCTGTATACACAGATTTAAAAAAAAATATTGCATTTCTATTTTTTCCTTTAATTAAGTCTCTTCATTTCATATGAGTTCAGAAAACCACCACGACTGAGGTATGTATTTGAAGAGATGTCTTGGAAATTAGGAATGTTAAAGTTAGTGGAAGAGGGCTATGTGGACTTTTATGTTCAGCTTTAGACACATATATAGCTGAGCATAAGCACTAGGTCGCTTTTCTAGGCAAAACTTTTTGTTTTGTTTGTTATTTGTTTTTTTGAGTGGAGTCTTACTCTGTTGCCTCTGGTGGAGTTAAGTGTCTATGATCATGATCGTCACAGCTCACAGCAGCCTCAACCTCCTGGGCTCAGGCGATTCTTCTACCTCAGCATCCCAAGTAGCTGGGACTGCAGGCACACACCACCATGCTTGGCTAATTTTTTTATTTGTTTGTGGAGACGAGGTCTTGCTGTGTTGCCTAGGCTTTTGGACTCAAGCAGTCTGCCCACCTTGGCCTCCCAAAGTACTAGAATTACAGGTGTGAGCCACTGCACCTGGCCTTGTTTGTTTATAAGTTAAAGCATTTTGAATTTCTGCCCTATTTGGACTAATTTCTTCACTTCAACTCTAGTTTACAGAGCCACAGATACTTAGAGAGTATCAGTTTTGTTTCATGAAAACAAAGTCATTCTTGTTTGTGCCCCTGTAAGGTCAACACACCTTGATTATGATGACAAAAGACTTTGAACCAATCATGGAGCAGCAAATCCACCAGGACGATTTTGGTGAAAGTGAGTATAGCTTTACTTAAAACATTTGTGACCTTAAGTGCCTTCCCAGTTTTTTTTGTTTTTTTTGAGTTGGAGTCTCACTCTGTCGCCCAGACTGGAGCGCAGTGGCCGCTCCTGGCCACCGCAGCCTCGACCTGGGCTCTGGCGATCCTTCCGCCTCAGCCTTCCAAGTAGCCGGAGTTACAGGCATGCGCTACCACGCCCGGCTGATTTTTTGGTTTATTGTAGAGATGAGGTCTCGCCTGCCCAGGCGGGTCTCGAACCCGCGGGCTTAGGCATTCCACTCACCTCAGCCTCCCAAAGGCGCGGGATTACAGGCTGAGCCACCGAGCCCGGCTGCCTTCCCAGTTTTAATCATTTTCATGTACACTAATAACTATTCCATAAACCCAAAGAGCTGTGAAACTTAAACCTCATTTATGAAATATATGTGAGCCCAGTTCCTTCAGCCCACCCCAGACCTTTAAAGGCCTTCCTCTGGTCTTTCATTTCATGTCTGAGGGGTGGCTTTGTCAATAACCTGAAAAATAGAAATTGATTCTTTTTTTTTTTTTTTTTTGAGTTGGAGTCTCACTCTGTCGCCCAGGCTGGAGTGCAGTGGCCGCTCCCAGCCACCACAGCCTCGATCTGCTGGGCTCCGGCGATCCTTCCGCCTCAGCCTTCCGAGTAGCCGGAATTACAGGCGCGCGCTACCACGCCCGGCTGATTTTTTGATTTATTGTAGAGATGAAGTCTCACTGCCCAGGCGGGTCTCGAACCCGCGGGCTCATGCAATCCACTCACCTCAGCCTCCCAAAGGTGCGGGATTACAGGCTGAGCCACCGAACCTGGCTAGAAATTGATTCTTAAGGTAGTTGTTGTCCAAACCCTAGGAAAGGCTTAGAATGGGATTTCAGTGAAAGGGACTGTACAATCTAGAATAAAAGTAATATTTCTACATTACAGTTTTAGGGAGAAGAAAATGAGAGGTGGGATAGAAAGCTGATACTTTTTTTCTGCTTGTTAGATCCAGATCTGCATTTTCATGGGAACAAATTGTTGTCTTGTTAAAATCTGGCTGAAGTCATTTGGGCATTGAGTCTGTGGGGTTATTAAAAGGGATGTGGAAAAGCGAGGTGCTTATTGAGTGTAATATTGGGTTCGTAGTACCTACTCAAGAATTATTTCAGAATAAATTATTTTTGAATAAATAAATGAGAAGCAGTTCTCTAAATGATTTCTCAGAGTTAGTGGAACAAGAAGGAATGAAATCAGATCTCAGCAGCAGTTGAAATAACCTCTCCCCTTCCCTTTCTCTTTAATCAGGCCGAGTAGCTGAGAAATCATTTAGAGAACTGCTTCTCATTTATTTATTTAAAAATAATTTATTCTGAAATAATTCTTGAATAGGTACTACGAACCCAACAGTGTGTTTAGTACTATGGATAGCTCAAAAATTGTTAAGTAGTTGAATTTTCCTTTAAAGAGTCATAAGTACAGTAATGACATGATGTGCAGGTATTAAGGTAGCATAAGGGAAGGAAAGCAGTAGTGAGGGAATATTTCCCCAAGGAGGCTGACTTGAGCTGATTCTCAGCAGAATTGGTATTGGGTACATGAGGTCTGAGTAGTCCAAGCAAGGTAATGAGTCCATTTTAAGGGAGGGATGTTTCGTAGAAACACCATGGTTTACTCATGGCAGGACATGAGTGTAGAATGAAGTAAATTAGATGCATTTGGATTAATTTTGTGGTAAGGAATTTGGACACTAAGTTATAGTTGATCCACTATTAAAGGTTTTGATATTGAGAGGTTTAAAGCTATTTTTCTAGTAGAAAGATGACTCTTGATGCCATTTTGTTGTTGTTGATGTGTGGAGAGGGAATAGGCTAGAGGCAGGGTGATCAGGTAGGAGGTTGCTACAGAAATCCAGGTGAGAGAAAAGAAAGGTGAATGTGGGGCTAGAAGTGGGAATGAATTCAGGAAAAACTTGACTCTTAGGATGGAAATACATTTTATGGAATTATCTGAGAAACTTTTTTGGAATATATGTGTATAGTTCCCCTCCTGCTCTAGGCCGGTTTTAGAAATACCAGTTTAGAAGGTGAAATAAGTAGACTTTGGATATGTAAGGTGAGGAAGAAAGGGTTAAGTGGGACTCCAGCTAGAACCTCAGGTGATGAGAATAAAGATGTCAGTAACTAAAAGAAGGAAGGGTAGGTGGTGAGTTCTGTTTTGTGTTTGTTGAAGGACCATATGGGATTGCCACATGGGGTAGGCAAATAAGGGGCTAAAGCTCAGGTGAGACTGAGCTGTAGACTAGGAGCCATTGGTATGTAGGAAATCCTGACAGTCTTGGGAAGCAGACGACATTGCTTAGAGAGCAGATATGGTCCTGAAGAGTAAGATCCAGGATGGAACTCAGGGGCATCTAACTTTGAGGACAGAGAGTAACCAGTACACAGCACACCTTGGGATGAGAAAGTGCTCTGGGCCTGACTTTTCCCACCAGCTTTTTCATTAAAAGTCTAATGCAGTAAATCAGGGAAAAGGGAGTCCAAGTTAGGGTCTTAGGTCTTAGAAATGTGTTTATCAGTACAAAAAAAAAAAATCAGTCTATGGAGTGATGAATATTTTCACTCTAACCAAGGGATCAGTAAAGTTGTTCTGTGAAGGGCTAGGTAGTAAATATTTTTAGCTCTGCGACTATATGGTCTCTGCAATTCAGTTCTATTAAAGTATGAAAGCAGATATAGACAATACATAGCCATAGCTGTGTTCCAGTAAGAGTTTGTAAAAGCAGATGTTGTCTGTAGATGCAGATCCCTGCTGTAACCCCATCACTTATTGTCTGATCTCATTGGAAAATTTATCTTTCTTCTTTATTCTTTACCTCTCCATGGAAACTTGCAGATAGAAACCCAGGGGTGTGCATCAGCCTAGGCATTGCTATTTGTATACACAGCAGCATGGTGTGCTTTGAGGTACTGTAGTGCTTGGATGTGAGCTGATAGGAAATGGTCATACTGACTCATTTTTTTTTTCTTAAATTTTAAAGATGTGGGGTAACAGGTTTCTTCAGGGAAAACTTGATTCTTAATGAGGATGGGAGTACATTTTATGGAATTATCTGAGAAACTGACTCATAATTTATAGAAATTGTAAACAGCCCTGTTTCATCAGAATTAATTGCAGGGGGGAAGTACTGAGTTCTGGGTTTGACTGATTCTTTCAAGATTATCTTTATAGTACCTCTTGAAGATCTATGCCAGATCCTACCTCCAGGAATAGAAGAATTGTGTTGTTTCAGCAACTCTACTTTTATATTTCATGTAAGAGATGCATTATGATTTAGAAAGAAATCCAATCTGGAAGGCAGAAGCCTTATGTTCTAATTTTGGCCTTTGCCACTAGGGGCACTCAATCTGTAAGTCTATGTTTGGGGCTGGATTTGATGATCTTCCCTACACCACCTACAGTACAAGCTGGGAGGTTGGATAGAATTAGTTGATTGAAAGCTTACAGTCAGATTTTTATTCCTACCTATTGTCTTGGGTTTTATGTTTTAGACATATTGCATAATTTCCTCATATTTCATTCTTCTTACTTGTAAAGTGAAGGTAAGATTACTGACTCATGTCATCAAGAGAACATGGAATATATTAGATGGCAGTAAAGTGCTTTCCAAAATAAAGAAGGGCTCACAGCTTGCCAGGAGAAAGAATGAATGAATTTTAGATTCATCAAGATCACTGTGGCATATAATATGCAACATAGGTTTTTCAAATATTGCTACTGGTTAATTTATTGAGTTATCTTAGAAGGTCCAAGTAATTGTCAGTGATTAACTTCGTGAAGCATAACAGTGAACCTGTTTTCATTTTACTTCATGCAGCTTATTTGTTGTCTTGCATATTCTCAATCAATTGTTTTCTAGGCAAGTTCATCACTGTTGGATGGGGTAAGAAGGAGACACAGTTCCATGGATCAGAGGGCAGGCAAGCAGCCTTTCAGATGCAAATGGTAAGTTTGGTTTGATGGATAAAGAACCTTGACTGGAATAAGTAGAAGTTCTGCCATTCACCAGGAACTCTTAGGTGTCCATTTAAAGGTCAATAATACATCGTTCTCTTCTGCGTTAGTAAAACTGTTTAGAGCCTTCAGGGAATGAGCCAACCTAAAAAGAACCTTTTTAAAAAAAATTGCCAACTTGCTTTGTGATTTATTTTTAGTGTAGCAAATAGTTATAAGCAATATTCATCACCCAGTTTAAAAAATAAAACATCACAGACAGAGATGAAATACCCTGTGAAGGCCTTCAGTATTCCTCCCCTTTCTCCCCAGAGAGAGCTACCATCCTGCATTCACTGCTATTCATTCACATGAGTAATCTCATATTTTTTCTACATATGTGTACATTAGATAGTTTTTCTGACTTTTTATTTTCCCTGTTTCTGAATTAGAAAATTCTAAAAACCACATAATGCTGTCTTAATGACTCAAGGCAGTACTTTTCTTTTCTTTTTTTGAGTAGGAGTCTCACCCTGTCACCCAGTCTGGAGTGCAGTGGCATACTCATGGCTACCACAGCCCCGACCTGCGGGGCTTACGTGATCCTTCACCTCAGCCTTCCAAGTAGGTAGAACCACAGGCTCGTGCCACCACATTCAGCTAATTTTTTTTATTTATTGTAAAGACGAGGCCTCGCCAATTTGCCCAGGCTGATCTCGAACCCCTGGGCTCAGGCAGTCCTCTTGTCTCTGCCTCCCAAAGTGTTGGGATTACAGGCATGAGCTATTGTGCCTGGCTAAGGCAGTACTTTTCAATCTTAGAGAGCCCCTGAAGGCAGAGGAATGTGGACAGAAGAGGAGTGCCTGCTCTAGGGGCTCCTGGGAAGTAGCATCACTGTCTACCGTCCCATTAAGTTAACTCATATTAAATAAACTCTTACATTTTATCTGTATACAATTTGAATGTTTTTAAAAATATGAATTAAAGCATACCACTCTTCAATAAAATTAATGGCACAGGAAGCTATGCCATGTTTATCCTCTTGCGTGCTGCTGGGTACCCCTAGGGGCAGCACATATCTCTGTTAGAGAAGTACACATTAGATTCTCAGCATGATCATGTCATGTAGCGGTAAGACCTCGGCCAGTTTTTTGGCATTTCTGTATCTCTCTATTCCTTTCTTTAAAATGGGCATAACAGTGTCCCAAGGATTGAGATTTGGAGGTAATGTATATAAAACAGCTACCACAGCACCAATACAGGATATGCACTCAAATGGTAGTTGCTGCTCTTATTATAGTGGACAGATAACTTTTGAAACTTAAAGCATAGTTTCTACTTCAAAACAACTATATTGGGAGTAAAATATGCAAGGTGGGTCTAATTTAACATTCTGAAAATTGCTGATCTATTAGAATCAGTAAAGGATGTTTAGAGGGCAGAAAAATGGAGTAACTATTCCTAATCAAGGTTGATTCTTTGGGGTGATCTCTATAGTAGTCCAGCTTTAGACATCTGGTTTTTATGTCCCCTTAATTCTTAAGTGATTCTTTTTTCCAGAAGGAGTAAAATCAGGTAGAGGAGAATTAACTTGACTAAGTAGTTTTTGCACATTTGTATATTCTAAGCAACAAGTAAATTATGCAGTGACTAAGGCCATATATTTTGAATTTTAAAATAATACTTTACTGATACACATTACAACATGGATGAACCTCATAAACATTATGTTAGTTGAAAGAAACCAGTCACAAAAAAATCACGTATTATATGATCCCATTTATTTGAAATGCCCAGAATAGGCAAATCTGTAGAGACAGAAAGTAAATTAGTGGTTGCTTAGGGCTTGGAGGGCAGGAGGATTGGGCAGGAAGGAGTGACTGCTAATGTGTATTGGGTTTCTTTTGGGGATGATGGAAATGTTCAAAATTTAGATTATGGTGATGGTTACACTTTGTAACTATACTTAAAAGACATTGCGTTGTGTACTTCAGGTGGTGAGCCTTAGTAGAATATAAATTACATCCCTATAAAGTTGTTAAAAGTTACTACTTTAAGGGAATTTGCAGTAGTATTCAGAATAAGGCAGTTTTCTATACTTTGTTAAGCTCTGAAAACATTGTATACCTGGTACTTGCTAGAGTAAGAATTGTCTAGTATTGACAAAATTAGGTTTTATTAGTGATATAAAATGATTTGGATAATAGGGAAAAAACCCTTCATTCTATTATCTAATCTACTGTTCAGTAGCCTACTCTAGGCCTACTCATGAACTTTTTCTGAAGACTTTCTGTGGTTTTGTTTTGGTGTGAAAGTTCATAACTACCTGTCAAAAAACAAAACAAAAATCCTTGGATTAGTCAGGCGTTGGTTTTCACGTGACTGGTTTTTTTTGTTTTTGTTTTTTTTACGTTGTATTGCTTTAGTTCTCAGTTTACTCCCTGCTTGGGTGCTCCTAGTGCCCAGTAATGCTGATACAGGAGGTTGGTTGCATTGTGTGTTATTTTTCTACTTTCTTTTTTGTTTCAAATTTTTTATTTTAGAGATGTGGGGTACAATTCAGGGTTAAGTATACTGATGTTCATTATGCAGGTACCTTTATTGATGGTGCCCCCCTCCCCACATAATCTGTTTTTCTACTTTCTTAGGCAGTCGATCATTTATTTATTTAAAGCCGTATATTTAGCACCTATTGTGTGCCAGGCACTGGAACAAAATCCCTAACCTCAATAAAGCATATATTCATTGGATACTCTATTAAAATAATATTAATGTATAATATGTCCAGGGGTGAAAAATGCTCTGGAGGAAAATAAAGCAAGATAAAGAGTGCCAGATAGCAGCAGATGGGACGGTCTGGGATGGCCACACTAGGAAGGTGCTATTTGATTTTAGATCTGAAGGAGATAAAGGAGTAAGCATTGTGAATATATGGAGAAGACTATTAGACAAGCAAAACATTTATTTTCTTATCATAGTTACCTGATATGTTCCTTAGCTCATTATATTTAATACCTATATCTGTAGTTTTTTCCTCTGTTGCTATTCTTGGAGTTCACTTGAAAAAAAAATACCCAAAGAAAGACTTTTTAAGTTTTATTTTGTATATTTTAAAACTTTGTTGTTTTGTGATATACCAAAGTAGTGTCTTCAGCTTTTTTTTTTTCTGAGTCAACGTCTCCGCTATCATCTATGCTGCAGTGGCACAATCATGGCTCATCATAGCCTCATTTCCTGGGCTCAGACAGTCCCCCGCCTCATCCTCCTAAGTAGCTGGAACTACAGGCATGCATTACCATACCTGGCTAATTTCTGGGATGTTTTTTTGTAGAGACGAGATCTCACTATGTTGCTCAGGCTGGTCTTGAACCCTTGGGCTCATGCTATCCTCTCACTTTAGCCTCCCACAGTGCTGGGATTATAGGCGTGAGCCACCATGCCTGGCCTTAAGTTTTTGTTTTTATTTTTTGATGATTTCTTGGTTTACAAGCCCTTCTAGGAGGATTTCTGAGGATCCTGTGAAGCTGATTTTCAAAATAGCTTAAATTTCATATAAAAGATTTCTATGTATTGACCTGAGGCTCATTTGACTCTGGGCCCTTTAAGGTCCCCCAGTAATATTGGTGTTTCCTCCTCTCTTTAGCATGAGTCAGCTTTGCCCTGGGATGACCATCGACCACAAGTTACTTGGCGTGGGGATGGGCAATTTTTTGCTGTGAGTGTTGTTTGCCCAGAAACAGGTATGGAAATAAACTGAAGCTAACCAAAAATTGTTCTTAAATTTACTACAGTTTCAGGAGATTTTCCTTCTTTTGCTTTTATTGGGGTATTCATGACACATATGAGGTAAAGATGTGCTGCTTTAGATGTTAAATGAGTTTGGAATTCAGATTTAGAAGATTCTTGAGACTATGTGGTCCAGCCTCCCACCTGGTGAGACATATTTTTAACAGGATTAATCTAATTGACTTTGTAAAACCATGTAGTTTTTATAAGGAAGATGTTTGGAAAGTTCTAACTTGACATTTTCATAATGTTTTAAGTATATGTTGTTTTACTTCATCTATTGCACAGGGGCTCGGAAGGTCAGAGTTTGGAACCGAGAGTTTGCTTTGCAATCAACCAGTGAGCCTGTGGCAGGACTGGGACCAGCCCTGGCTTGGAAGTGAGTGGGAGAAGAAACTTTTGTACTTCTTCCTCAAAGAAATTCATGGAACCAGAGTAGAGGTGGTGGTACTCACCAAATGTAGATGTTTACAAAACACAAAAGACTGTTTATACACATTTGGCTGTAACAGCCTCTTTCTTTCCTTCTGTTCTCTAAAGTCTGAATTTAACTCAAATAGTAGATTCTGGGCTTCTTTGCAGATCTCATCATTCCAAGGTCCCATACATTTTGCATTCCTAATTCTTAAAAGGTTCTGGTTATAGGCAGAGCCTGTATGAAGTCATTGTCTAAAAAAGCAGAAAATGGTGCTTGTAAGGAAAGTCCCAGTTTGCAAATCTCAGTAGGGCAAACGGAGCTTTTGTGAAAACCGGGAAAGAGCTTCCTTCCTCTGCATAAATACCCACAGTAAAGGATTTACTTGCCATGGAACATACTTATTGACCCCCTCCTTTCGTTTACCTCCTTGGCCCAATATGCTTATGGCTGCACTAGTTTTAAATAGAAGTATCTTCTCTGTGTCAGCATCAGTTACATGCAAAACCAGTAGGTCTCCAGATTTCAGACATCTTGTTTTCTACCAGTATTTAAATGGTATTGGATTAGAGAGCAAGAAAAGACTGGATTTTACTTAAAATTCCTGAGAAAAATATGAATATGATGAGGTAATTAAGATGTTTTGCCAGGCACAGTGGCTCACACCTGTAATCCCAGCACTTTGGGAGGTGGAGACGAGAGGATTGCCTGAGCCCAAGGGTTCCAGACCAGCCTAAGCAACATAGACTTTGTCTCTACAATAAATAAAAAAATTAGCCAGCCATGGTGGCACATGCCTGTAGTTCCAACTACTTGGGAGGCTGAAGCAGTAGGATCGCCTGAGCCTAGCAGGTCAAGGCTGCAGTAGCTGTGAGCGTGCCACTGCACTACAGCCTGGAAGACAGTGAGACTCTGATTTAAAAAAAAAAAACAGTTTTTAGTAGACCAAAAAAACCTTAAAAGAGGTCTGCCGGAGTATAGAATATTTGCTGAAGTCATATAATTGAAGGAGAAATAGGCTATGATTTTTAGAACATACTTGGAATAGTTTTATTTATTGATTTTAAAAAGTCATCCAAATGCACTGTAGATCTGTAAGTCTCTGGACAAATAGAGCCTTCTGATTCCTAAAAGCTCTAAATATCAACCTCCCATATGACCCCGCAATGCCCCTACTGGGAATATATCCTGAAGAACTCAAATCACTCTATAAAAAAGATACCTGCACACGTATGTTTATCGCAGCATTGTTCACAATAGCAAGAACCTGGAAGCAACCATGCTGCCCATCAAAAGAGAACTGGATTAAAAAAATGTGGTACATATACACGATGGAATACTACGCAGCCATAAAAAAGAACAAAATCATGAATTTTGCAGCATCCTGGATGGAACTAGAGTCTATAATACTGAGTGACCTCTCACAGAAGCAAAGATCCAAGTATCACATATTCTCACTCATATAATGGACCTTTAATATCCAATGTAATACTATAAGAAAATGACTGACAGTAGTGGGAAACTATGGGGGAGGGGAGGGAGATGGGATCAATGGCAGCAAATATCTGTCTGGGGACGGGAAACACCTCTTATCAACAGGGTGCCTGAATGAAACGTACTTGTATACCTAACCCTTAACTGTACCCCACAACACCATAATAAAAAATAGTGATTAATAAAAACAAACAAAAAAACAAATAGAGCCTTCATGCAAATTAGGAAAAGGCACTCTTTCTTCTGGATGGTGCAGTTCCACACTAGAGTGATTTGATTGCCAAGAGACAACGGACACATGGAACTTTAAATGTCCTTGGATAAAGATACTAATTCTTTTCATTTATTTTTGCTGAAAAAAAAAAATCTCTTTTCCAAATTTCATATTGTTCTTAAGCCAGTTGAATGAGTTTTTGGAGTTCTAACACTGGGTTTGTTTTAAGACCCTCAGGCAGTTTGATTGCATCTACACAAGATAAACCCAACCAGCAAGATGTTGTGTTTTTTGAGAAAAATGGACTTCTTCATGGATACTTTACACTTCCCTTCCTCAAAGATGAGGTTAAGGTAAATGCCATTAAACTTAGAGGACTTTCTACAGCTATGGATGGGGTTTATATTTGATAAAGATGTGTAAATAGACGTTTCATAGTAGATAGTAATAAAAATGATGACTTCCTGTGATTTTGTTGTTTTGTAAAAGTGGAATTGTTTTTCCAAAGAGATTTTGCAAATAATGTATTTCTTTCCTATCTGAGATAAAACACAGACAAGAAATAGAAATGCTAGTTTTTATTGTTTATTTTGACAAAAACATAATTCTAATGATAAGTGTTTTCCATTTATAACATTTAAATCTTAAGCAGCTCAGAACCATTAAGATCCTTGCTGAGGTAGAAAAACATCAAATGGTAATTTTTTTTTGAGTTGGAGTCTCATTCTGGAGTGCAGTGGCACAGTCATGGCCAGCCCAGCATCAACCTGCTGGGCTCCGATGATCCTTCCGCCTCAGTCTTCCAAGTAGCTGGAACTACAGCCACACGCCACCATGCCCAGCTAATTTTTAAATTTATTGTAGAGTCGAGGTCTCACCAAGTTGCCCGGGCTGGTCTCAAAACTGCAGGCTCAGACAGTCTACTTGCCTTGGCCTCCCAAAGTGCTGTGATTACAGGCTGAGCCACCAAGCCTGGCCCAAATGGTAATTTTTATGTAAAATTTTAAACATCTTAAAAGTTGAAAGTTTAATGAACTCCCACATGCCTATTAATTTCAACAGATATCAACATTTTGCAAAATTTTTTCATCTATTTATTCCTCCCTCACCTATGCATACACATACAAGCACACATTTTTATTTCCTGGCATTTTAATTCTAGAAATTATATTTTCAATATTTATTTCTGACAGGAACATTTCTCTTTACATAACCATCATTCTGTTATTGTACATTACCTTAGTGTTACCTAATACTCAGACCATAATCAAATTTCCCTGATTGTCTAAAAATTCACCTTGCATTTGATTAAGTTTCTTAAAGTCTGTTGTAATCTTTAAGCATAATATATATATATATTTTTTAAGTCCTTTACATATAGTGACGTACGTATTTCACAGATTTGTTTAATGCCTCTATAGATTAGTAATTTATAGGAAGGAATTAGCTCAGGTAGGATTATTTGATTTGTCAGAGCTCTTCAGCTATTGTGAGAGGAAATTCATCTATTGTAAAGATTTTGAAGTAGATGTATAACTAATGGCCAATGACAGATCTTTTTTACCTTCTAGGTAAATGACTTGCTCTGGAATGCAGATTCCTCTGTGCTTGCAGTTTGGCTGGAAGACCTTCAGAGGGAAGAAAATTCTACTCTGAAAACCTATGGTAAGACAGCTGTAGTAGCTCAGCCTTATGCCCTACAAAATGTAGCTGTAAGTAGCAAGAGTAAGGAATTTCCTTCATCTTTTCTACTTGGTCCCTTAGTGGAACCAGCAAAGCTCAAGTTGGTAGATGGAGATAGAGGAGTGGTTAGGTTTTGATTATTTATGGATTTCAGTCATGCATCAGTCAGAGTCTTCTAGAGAAACAGAACCGAAAGGAGATAGATATAGATTAGTTATTGATATTGATATCATTCCTCAGTGTCCTCAGGGGATCAGTTCCAGGATTGACCATGAAAACAAAGATTCATACATACTCAAGTCCCACTGTTAGCCCTGCAGAACCCTTGGATATGTAAAATTGATCCTCTGTATACTTAGGTTTTGCATTCCTTGACATTGTATAATATGATCTGTGTTTGGTTGCAGATGTGGAACACACTGATTTAGAGGGCTGATAATATTTACTGGAAAAAAATCTGATTTTAAATGGGCCTGCGCAGCTCAAACCCATGTTGTTCAAGGGTCAACTCTATATCGGGAGAGGGTGAGGGAGGGAAAGAGTAAGAGAGGTATGGATTAATTTTAAGGAATTGACTAATGTAGGAGATGGTAAGTTTGAAATTTGAAGGGCAGACCAACAGGTTGGAAATGCAGGTAAGATTGATGAGTCTTGAGTCTGAAATCTTTTAAGGCAGGCTGGTAACATAGGCAGAATTTCTAAGTTACATGGTCTTGAGGCAGAATTCCTTTGTGAAACCTCAATTTTTGCTTTTAAAGTCTTCAGCTCATTGAATGAGACCCACTCACATTATGGAGGGTAATCTGTTTTTCTTAAAGTCAATTGATGGTAAATGTTAATCAATCACATCTACAAAATAGCTTCACATTAACAGCTGAACTTAGTGTTTGACCAGGCAACTGAGCACCATAGCCTTGCCAAGTTGACACAAAAAAATAACAAGTCATCTGTGCTTTCTCTTCTTGGATTGTATCACTGTAGAAAACCAAAACACTAACAAAGGAATACTGTGGAAGTGAAAAGAGATTTAGATTGGGTATAATAATTTTTTTTTCTTTTTTGAGTCAGATTCTCACTCTGTTCCCAAGGCTGGAATGCAGTGGTATGCTCATGGCCACTGCGGCCTTGACCTGCTGAACTCAGGCAATCCTTCAGCCTCATCCTTTCAAGTAGCTAGGACTACAGTCATACACCACCACACCTGGCTAACTTTTTGATTTATTGTAGAGATGGGGTTTCGCCAAGTTGCCCAGGCTGGTCTCAAACACTTAGGCTCAGGCAGTCCTTTTGCCTTGGCCTCCCAAAGTGCTGGAATTACAGGCATGAGCCACTACGTCTGGCACGAATATTTTCTGTAGCTTTTGAAATGTATAATTATGTGGTTTTAAATATTAAATGCTATATAAATATGTTAGATAATAAAGATAAGAAAAAATTTGTAATTCTACCACTGATTATTTAACCATTCTGGTTATTAACCATGTTAACAGTAATCACTGTTAAAACATTATTTTAGATTTTATATGTATATCTTACTATAGCTGTTATCTTATTTTTGTTAAAAGTATAGGTGTGATACATACAGTTTTGTAATTTGCTTTGACACTGTATCGCAAGCCTATTTTCATTGTACATGTGCATCATTTTAAACTGCTTTATTTTCTTGTGCCAGTTTATTAAATCTCATGCTGTAAGATATTTAAAATTTTGTAATTTCTTATTATCATCAGTAGCAGTGCATGGTACATTTTTGTTGATAAGTCTTTTTACTTATTTTCTTTTTGTTGAGTTGGAGTCTCACTCTGTCACCCAGACTGGAGTGCAGTGGCCGCTCCCGGCCACTGCAGCCTCGACCTGCTGGGCTCCGGCGATCCTTCCGCCTCAACCTTCCAAGTAGCTGGAACTACAGGCGTGCGCTACCACACCTGGCTAATGTTTTTGATTTATTGTAGAGATGAGGTCTTGCCACGTTGCCCAGGCGGGTCTCGAACTTGCGGGCTCAGGCAGTCCATTCACCTCAGCCTCCCAAAGCGCGGGATTATAGGCTGAGCCACCGAGCCCAGCTACTTGCTTATTTTCCAAGTAACTTCCAAACTGTAATCTTTTAGCCGAAACGTTATTAAGAAATGCATTTATTCTTTATAATAGTTCTCAACCCTGGCTGCACTTTTAGAAAAAAATCATGATATCCAGGCTTCATGTCAGAGTTGGGTTCAGTGTGTTGGAATGGAAACTATACCTCAGTATTTAATTTTTAGAAAACTTCCAAGTGATTTTAATATACTACCTTAGTTGAGAAGCACTGATTAACTAGTGTATCAAGGGATGACACTGTGATATGTTTAGGAATAAAAATTTTGCACAAGAACAGCCACAATGTTTGTCCTCACAGAGTATGCACATGTGGTCTGACTTACCAACTCACGGCTACATGGAGGTGTTGTAATAATATGATTGGAGACTAGATTATATTTGCTGTGATTGCTAAGAATTAGTAGCAAGGTGATTAAGAAAATGAATTCCTTATTATAACTATAATTCCTCATATTACTAAGGTATTAATTTTATATGTATCATCTGTTTAATAAAGCTTGGTTTGGAATGTTAGGTCTTATTCTTTTAATAGGCACTGGAAAGGATAATAGCGTGCTAATCTTTCTTGGACAGCTACATCATAGTTAACTCCAGATAGGCTTGGACATACTTGCACGCAAAGCACCTGGAAGAAAATAAGCATCTTAAGTCTCATACAACATAATGAGACTAGTCCAGATCTTGGATTGAGAGTTTTAATGCTTTTAATCTAATTGCCACATTATCTTCTTCCTAAGCCTTCATGGAAAAAACCACTAAAACACTGTCTTGTCCTACTAGCCTTCCAATATGAGCATAAAGTTTGAAGGTAGAGGTGAAAATAAACATGTGTATTTCTGACCTTATTGACGCTTGACATTTTATCTTCATGGAAAACTATATTTTAGCAATTACTATTATATTATTATTTTAAAGAAGAGGCTGAGCAGGAAAGGTCCTTTGAAAAAGGAAAGATTGCTCCTGTCCCCTTCTAACAAGCTGGTATGAAATCTGGTCCCACAGCCTTTAAATAGGCCTTCCTTTCATTTTCCCTTGCAGTTCAGCTCTGGACTGTTGGAAACTATCACTGGTATCTCAAGCAAAGTCTGCCCTTCAGCACCTGTGGGAAGAGCAAGATTGTGTCTCTGATGTGGGACCCAGTGACCCCATACCGGCTGCATATTCTCTGCCAGGGCTGGCATTACCTCTGCTGTGAATGGCACTGGACGACTGATCGAAGCTCAGGAGATAATTCGAGTGACTTGTCAAATGTGGCAGTCATTGATGGAAGTAAGCTGCGGGGAAATTTGTCTGTGAGCCTACAAGAGGTTCTGAGCCAAGGGCCTGCAGATATGGTGATTTGACTAGACCAGTGAGGAAATCTTTGTTTTGATTGCTTAACTTATTTTTACTTGTTTAGTTTTTGACTGAATGGGAATGTCCTAAGGTCAGGTGCATACTCTCCTGAAAACCATAGTTCCTCCTCTCCACCCTAGTTTCCTATACATGGATTTGTATGGCCTTTATACATTTACTTGTCTGGCTTTTGAAGATTCTGAAAATTTTGATCCTGGGCAGAGAGGAAAGATAACAGTAGAGTCTTGTGGGACTGGGTGTTTTTGCTTTATCTGTTTGCCCTGACTTAGATTTACGTTGACTCTTGTACCACTCTACATGTTGCTTTTTTCGTGATAGAAATATTAATACTTGCTAATTATATACCTCTCAGTATGTTCAGTTCATAACATAGACATTTGTCTAGTTATGAGGATTAGGTTGTGTGTTTTACGATTAGGTGGAAGGTTTTGGAGGGGCAGGAGTGGGAGGGACAGGATTGAGGAGTGAAGTAGTCACTTATTGTTTACCTATTTCTGGTAATATGAATTAGAAATCTTTCTCCTAAGATTGTTTTGTGAGTTTGTGTACTAATTTATGTTCTCTGTAGTACTCTATATAATACTGACTTTAAATCATATCTTCTATATAGAAAACTTAATCAGATTTGCCTTATTACCAAATCCATGTATAGAAATGTGCTTTAAGGATTTTGAAGGTGTTGATTCCCTTGATTTAGTGTGACTTGGTTGCAGGCCCTGGTTTAAAGCAAGAGCTCTGGCCTCTTGGCCTTTTTGCCTTAGTCCCTGACACCCAAAACTCCTAAGTTCAGAGCTGGACCACGCTAGGTCTGGAGGTGACAGTAGCCAGACATAGAACCCATGACACTTTTGCCCTCCCCCCCGACTGTTTTTAAGCTTATTCATGAGGAAAACACTGAAAGTTATTTTTAAGAATTGCTGTATGTTTTCTACCATCATTATTACTTGGATGATTTTCAGATGCCTTATTTTACAGATTGAATATCCATATGTCTAACCCTCTTTCTTTTTCATGTGCAGACAGGGTGTTAGTGACAGTCTTCCGACAAACTGTGATTCCACCTCCCATGTGCACATACCACCTGCTGCTCCCACACCCTGTGAATCAAGTCACATTCTCTGAGCACCCTAAAAAGAGTAATGACCTTGCTGTCCTAGATGCCAGTAACCAGATTTCTGTTTATAAATGCGGTATGTTAAAAAAATTTCTACCTGGAAATTCTGAATCAGCTCCCTCTTACTCCTACACCAAGGCAAATTATAGTTTGAGGTCATGTTTCTAAAAATTTTGAAGTCTTTCATTGATTTTATCATTATATATAATTTGCTTGAGATTTTTAAATAAAATTCTGCCATTGTTTTTAAGTGTTTTAAAAAATTCTGTATTGTTATAAGAGCAGTTACTTTTATCTTACTGAACTTGCAGAATCGGTTATTTAAGAATAATATTCAAGCCAGGTGCAGTGGCTCATGCCTGTAATCCCAGCACTTTGGGAGGCTGAGGCAAGAGGATTGCCTGAGCTCAGGGGTCCAAGACCAGCCTGGGCAACTTGGCAAGGCCTTGTCTCTACAATAAATCAAAAAATTAGCCCTGCGTGGTGGCATGTGACTATAGTTCCAGCTTGCTTGGAAGGCTGAGGTGGAAGGATCGTCTGAGCCCAGCAGGCAGAGGCTACACAGTGGCTGTGAGCATGCCACTGCACTTCAGCCTGGGCGACAGAGTGGGACTCTGACTCAAAAATGATTAACATTCAAATAACATAGTATATTATTACATTGTTAACATGTTTTGCTATCTTGTTTTTTACACATATTTTAAGTTATTCTCACATCCCTCCTGGGAACTGTGTCAGACTGTGTTTTCCAGTTTTATAGATGAGGGAATACAGTGGCAGAGGGCTTGTAATTTGTTTGAACAAGAATGGACAAGAGCCTCAACACAGGGTTTCTCGTTTTTTATTTATTTATTTATTTTTTTTGAGTTGGAGTCTCACTCTGTCGCCCAGACTGGAGTGCAGTGGTTGCTCCCGGCCACCGCAGCCTTGACCTGCTGGGCTCCGGCGATCCTTCCACCTCAGCCTTCCAAGTAGCTGGAATTACAGGCATGCGCTATCATGTCCGGCTGATTTTTTGATTTATTGTAGAGATGAGGTCTCGCTGCCCAGGTGGGTCTCAAACCCACGGGCTCAGGCAATCCACTCACCTCAGCCTCTCAAAGGCACGGGATTACAGGCTAAACCACCGAGCCCGGCTGGGTTCTAGTTTTTTATCTACTTTTCCTTCTACAGTTCCATTGCTGTCAGTTCCTTGTTGCTTTCCTGATGCACTGTAGAAGCTGAAATGGGTTTTAATTTGTGAGTTCTATGATCATGTCATAAATTATACTGGCATATGGCAGTGGCATCCTTGTTTTCACATATCTTTCGAATTCTCAGAAAAGGCCTAGAACATTGCTGAAGAGGATAATTTAAATTAATAAATTTATACTGAAATTCCCTACTTTTATATAAGTTTTCTGTTAGATCAGCAGCCTACTGTTTGCATGAATCCTGTCTGGATATATCACCAGTTTCTCTGATTTTAGTTTCACTCTGTAAAATGTGATTACAATCCTCCTTAAACTTTTAAAAATAGTTGTTTTTTTTTTAAATTCAACAAGTCCCCAACATACAAAAAAGTTCCATTCCAAGAGCACTTTTGTAAGGCCAATTTGTTTTAAATCCAACAAAGTTAGTCTAGGTGCCCAACTAGCACAATCGACTATATAGTTTCTGTATGTATTTAATGGGCTATACTGACACCCGATGGAAAGAGATAATATGTAAAAAACAAAACAAAACACAAGTGTCAGCTGGGCGCAGTGGCTCATGCCTATAATCCCAGCACTTTGGGAGGCAAAGGTGAGAGGATTACCTGAGCTCAGGGATTCGAGACCAGCCTGGGCAACATAGTAAAACCTCATTTCTACAATAAATAAAAAAATCAGCCAGGCATGGTGGCACATGCCTATGGTTCCAGCTACTTGGAAGGCTTAGGTGGAAGGATCACCTGAGCCCAGCAGGTTGAAGCTGTGGTGGCTGTGAGCATACCACTGCAATCCAGCCTGGGTGACAGAGTGAGACTCCAACTCAAAAAAAAAAAACGTAGGTGTGCATCATTAAAGTTTGTATCTTGAAGATTCGAATATAGGGGACTTACTGTAATACCGTGTACATTGTCAAGGCAAAGAATTAGATGTGAAATAAGCTTTTGTGGTGCTTTCTATATGATGCTAGTGACTTTACATATCACTTTACAATGTGTGGGATGTTTTGTCCTACATGCACTTAAAAAAATTGATTTATGCCATTCATGTATTTAAAGTGTACAAGTATATATATATATACCCTTGACCCAGGAGGTCAAGGCTGCCGTGAGCCGTGAGCTGTGAGCTGTGATCGTCGTGATTATGCCACTGTATTCCAGCCCAGGCAACAGAGTGAGACCCTGACTCAAAACAAACAAAAAGAAAAAAAAAAAAGAACTTAGGAGCAGACTTTTTTTTTTTGAGTTGAAGTCTCACTCTGTCATCCAGACTGGAGTGCAGTGGCCGCTCCCGGCCACCGCAACCTTGACCTGCTGGGCTCTGGTGATCCTTTCGCCTCAGCCTTCCAAGTAGCTGGAACTACAGGCGTGCGCTGCCATACCCGGCTAATTTTTGATTTATTGTAGAGATGAAGTCTCACCAAGTTGCCCAGGCATGTCTCGAACCTGTGGGCTCAGGCAGTCCACTTACCTCACCCTCCCAAAGCGCGAGATTACAGGCTGAGCCACTGATCCTGGCTTGGGAGCAGACATTTGGGTGGGAGTGGTGTAGAGACAAATTAGTTGCCAAAAATTATTTTTTAAAAATTTCCTGTCCTTGCCTTTGTGGAGATTATAATTCTAGTTGGGGACAAAAATAATCAGTAAATATAATCTGTCAGATGGCAAGTGCTAAGGAGAAAAATTAAACAAAATAGGGCATGAGGAGAGCTTGAGAATAGGAGTTTATTGGGGGAAAGTGGCTTTTGTACTTAGGGCGATCTGGGAAGGCCTCTCTGTGACAGTGACGTTTAAGCAGAGATTGGTAAGAATCACAGTAGGAGCCACGAAAGCATCTGGGTAAGAGCATCCCAAGCAGAGTAAAAAGTAGCTACAAAGTGCCTGTAGTGTTTAGGAAATAGCTGGGAGGCCAGAGTAGCTACAGCAGAGCACATGAAGGTAGAGTGGTATCACAGAGGTCACATGACAATAGAGGTGACAGGAGACAGCTCTTATAGGTCCTTGAAGTCTTTCCTCTGAGTGAGAAAGGAAGCCACCAGAGGCCTGCAACAGGAAGGCAGTGTTCTGACTGAATTTTTTTTAAAGTCGTGCATTGGCTGCTGTGCAGTGAGTAAACTGAGTCAGTAATGGAAAGAGAATGTCTTTTAAGTAAATGCTTAGGACGTCATGGGATTCGAGGATATTGAGAGGTGATTAAGGACAGTGGAGGAAATATCACTGGGGTGAGACAGTAGTCTCTGCCTGGTCTTGCTCGAGTGTGGCCTTTATGGCAGAGATCGTGACTGATGTCGTACTAAGTAAAAGCAGAGATTTTAAAAAGGAGAATAAGATATGGTTATTTTCTAGGTTGCTTTATTTGTTAGAACTCATTAATTGTCAACAAACCCCTTGGTATTAGAAGAAACAGTGATAGTTTACAATGATAGTGTTTGCATTTTTGTTTTCTAGGTGATGGTTCAAGTGTGGACCCTACGGTGAAACTGGGAGCTGTGAGTGGAAATGGATTTAAAGTTTCCCTTAGAACACCTTATCTGGAAAAGAGATACAAGTAGGTTCTTAATTACCTTGGACCTCTGGGAATAGAATCAGCCAGGATTTAGTCCTAAATTCAGCCAATTATGATTCTGTGCCTATTGCTTAGTAGAACAGGAGGTAGAGACAACACCCAGGCCCTGGTTTTCCAGCCTGGTTGGGGAAGCCACTGACTTGTTTTTCTTTTTTTCTTTTTTTTTTTGAGTTGGAGTCTCACTCTGTCGCCCAGACTGGAGTGCAGTGGCCGCTCCCGGCCACCGCAGCCTCGACCTCCTGGGCTCCGGCGATCCTTCCGCCTCAGCCTTCCAAGTAGCCGGAATTACAGGCATGCTCTACCACGCCTGGCTGATTTTTTGATTTATTGTAGAGATGAGGTCTCGCTGCCCAGGCAGGTCTCGAACCCTCAGGCTCAGGCAATCCATTCACCTCAGCCTCCCAAAGGCGTGTGATTACAGGCTGAGCCACCGGCTGACTTGCTTTTCTTAATGCTGTATATTCTGATGGATGGCTGGGGAACATGAGTGGTAAGCCAACCCAGAACCCACCCCGAAAGCAGTCCTTGGTTCTTCCAGGGATAATCACATATAAAAGGTACAGAAAAAGACAAGACAGAGTTGTATTCTCTCACATAAATGAGGGTGTATAGGTTGTTAACATGGATGCCCTAATGCAGCCTATCTTTGCCTCATCCCACATTTCAGAACTTCTGGGTACTATGTTTTGGGGCTCCCAGGATGGAAATCAGAATGCATTTTCCCATTAAAGTACTTTTTTCTTTCCTTTTTTTTTTTTTTGAGTCGGAATCTCACTCTGTCACCCAGGCTGGAGGGCAATGACATGAACATGCCACACTGTAGCCTCGACTTCCTGGGCTCAGGCGATCCTCCTGACTCAGCCTCCTAAGTAACTGGGACTACAGGCATACACTACCACACCCAGCTAGCATTTTGATTTTTTTTTTTTTTTTGTAGAAATGAGATCTCGCTTTGTTTCCCAGGCTGGTCTCAAATTCCTGCGCTCAAGCAATCTTCCTGCTGTCTTGGCCTCCCAAAGTCCTGGGTTTATAGGTGTGAGCCACTGTGCTTGCCTTGAAATAGTATTATAAATGATTGAGTATAATTGAGTACCTTAGGTACGTTATAGGCATTTGCAAAATGATAAGAAGCCAAACTATAATGCTACTTCTGAGAAAATGTTTTTAAAGAGTACCGCTTGTTGAGTGGTTATAGATAAGAAAACAAAGTGTGGAGGTAAGAAGGTCATGGACCTGGTAACTTAGAGAATCCAAGATTTACTTTTATTCTATTTGCTAAGTCCACATTCTTAAATTACTGAATTACTCTGCCTCCTGGGAACATTTATTTTTAAATTAATAGAAATTATTAACTGAGTACAACAAATAACAAAATTTGAGAAATAATATGTTTCTTCAATATATGCAATATATTTAATAAATAGAGTATAAGTATCCAACCTATGTATGTTTAAGAGGATGCCTGTATAATGCTTAGTAGTATTTAAAGAACATTTAAATGTATGATTTCATTTCACAGACTTGAAACTACTAGAGTACAGAGATGAAAGGCAAATTAGAAAGTGTGAGAATATAGTCTCATTTTTTAAAATGGAGAGAAGGATAACAGTACATTGAGAGATTTTTATGAAGGGCATGAATACTTATTTGATCCTTGAGGAAGTGATAAGTTTGGGATTGGCAAAGATGAACTGGGAACATTGGGTCTGGTAGTAGGAGAGTGTCTGTGAGAACCAGAGGTGGGAATGATCCTGCATGGGCCGAAAGAAGTATAGAGCTGGAGTCTAGGGAGAGCTGGTTGAGAAGGATGATCAGGCTAGTGGCAAGCTTCTTTGGTGGTAGTTGAGGATTTTCCACTTGATCTAAAAGGCAGGAAGTAACCATTATAAGTTCCTACACGAGATGGCAAAACAGTGCCCTGGTCAGATGCTTAAGTGCTACTGACGGAATGCATTAAAGTCACAGAAACCATCTCTCAAGCCAGTTAATCATTTTGTTGTGAGGTACTTAGGAAGCCACCCATTCTACGGTGACCTGCATTATCTGCTGGAGTCTTGTTTGAATACTGGTGAGTAGTGACCATAGAAAGTCCCTGGGGTTTATTAATATAGGAACTGGAGTAGGAGATTCTCTTGTGTAGTCAGTTTCCTGAAGTGTTCTCTTCAAATCTAAAGATTTCAGGGTAGGAGAAACTTAATTTAAAGTAAATAGAAAAACATATTCTTAAGCCAGACAATCATTAATATGAGATTTTCTAGTATTTGGTATTATCGCAGATTTTGTCCCTCCATATAATTAGGAGCTGACTCTATACAAGGTGCTTCATTCTTCTTTCATCAGGAAAATCTCAGTGATTTTAAAGTTTTATTCATATCTTGGCTATTCTTCAATATTTAAAACAGAATTCAGTTTGAGAATTGTGAAGATCAAGAGGTAAACCCAATGAAATTCAGCCTTCTCACCTGGATTCAAGAAGATGTCTTCCTGGCCATAAGTCACAGTGAATCCAGCTCACAGTCTGTCATTCATCATTTGACTGTGGATCCTTCTGAGACAGATGGAGAACAAGGAGAGCTCAATGTCAGGTATTACAGTTCTTCCCTATACTTCATGTGTTAAATAAGCAGTGGAGTTAGAGTTTTGCCTTTTATGAGCATAGGCCTTTTTTTGGCTTCTGGTGAGCAAGGTTGAGGAGTAGAGCTTTCTTGTTAGACACAATTAGCAAGAAGGTTAAGTCTAGTTGTGAGTCTTGTCAAAATAATAGATAAAAAATATATCAAGAAGTGAAAAATAGGATAGATATCAATAGATGAGGCAAAAATATTTTTAAGATGTGTTAAACATTTCAATTCTGTATCTGTTCACATTCCTGCAGAGTAATTGGTAGCTCTTATAATTGATTTTAATAATGATCAAGTGGAATTAGATTGGCTAATTCTCATGGGTTAATGCAGTGGGAAGAAGTTATATATACACACACACTCACATTTACACATACAGTTATGTGCTGTATAACATTAGGCAATTTCATCACTATGCACAAATCATAGTGCATTTATACAAACCTAGATGGTATAGCCTACTATACACCTAGGCTATTTGAAATGTTTCAGGCTGCAACAGACCATATATTATATATGACAGTGGCCCCATAAGATTATAATGGAATTGCCCTGTACAAATGTACCATTTTAATCTTTGAGACCATATTTTTACTGTGCCTTTTCTATGTATAGATATGTTTAGAGACACAAAAACCATTGTGTCACAATCACCTACAGTATTCAATACAGTAATAAGCTGGACAGGTTCATAGCTTAGGAGCAATAGGTCATTTCATATAGCCTAGGTGTATAGTAGGCCATACCATCTAGATTTGTGTAAATGCACTATGATTTTTGCACAGTGATGAAGTTACCTAATGATACATTTATCAAATATGCCCATGTCGTTAAGCAACACATGACTCTGTGTGTGTATATATATATGTGTGTGTACGTGTATGGAGGGTGCCAAAAAATGTGTATACATATTAAGAAAGGAAAAGGGTATTAAAATTATAGGTGAATACAAGTCATGTCTGATTTCTGCAATTACAAGAGGTGCTCAAAGTGGATATCATCAGCGTCCAGACACTTCTGATTATGGCAAACTAAAAGTGATACATAGATAACATCGCTTAAAATGTGTATACATTTTTTTGGTACCCATGGTATACATATACATACACCACTTATATGTTTTGTTTTGATGTGGTGACTTAAAAATGCTTCTTCAGGCCCCCTCTTCTATACATACTGTTTGGTATTTCACTACAATTGCCACTAGAAAGTCTCTATTTTTCCCTGTTCCATGGAACTGAGTTTTGTTTTGATTTCTGACTGCATCTTCATCATGTAACTGGTTTCATTTAATAAATGCTGTTCTCTGCAGTGCAAATCCTGTAGTGCAGTAGATAGCATTTTCTGGCCCATTCTAAGTACTCCTTGTTCCCAATGTCAAGACTTGGCAATTTAGTCATACACTGGTATTAATCCCCAGATTCATTTGTAACTAAAACCCTGCTGGTTAGATTTATATTCTGAAAGCCCTTGTTGCAAAATTAGGAACCTTTCCTTATATATACAATACATTTAAATCCAGTCACCCACTCCTATTCATTGATTCATAATGCTCCAAGATATTTTGAAAAAACTTTTTGTGACTATGTCTACATGCAGATTATATTCCAGTATATACAGCATTTAAAGTTAGCCAGGAGCTTACATTTTGAAAAGCGCAACAATTTATGAAGTTTCTAACTCTTCAAATTTGAAATTCTTTATCGTTAACTTATAGAAGGAAGAATTAGATGCAGTCATCTCATTTGCTGTAAAGGAATTCAGAAGTACTTTTCTGCTGCTTTGACTTTTGTTTTTTTAAAAAAGACTTTAGATCATACAAAAATTAATGTCTTTGAAGAGCGCAGAGTTCCTTAATTAGTTTATAGCTGTTAATAGCTTACATTTACTGTATCTTGTACTCTGTAATAGATGCTGTTCTTAGTCCTTTCTGTATTTTACAATACCCCTTTTGGTATGTGCTGTTAGCGTTGTCCTTTTACAGATGAGACAACTGAGGCATAGAGCAATTAAGTAGCTTGCCCAAGTTCATGCAGGTGGAGCCAGGATCTAATACCAGTCAGTCTGGCTCCAGGGTCTGTTCTCTTAACCTCTTGACAGATAATTTAGCCTCACAAAATTTGAGGCATTGGTTGAGAAAGTAATCACAATTACAATTTTTAAGTTTTTTGTAGAATGTTTAAACTCTCTTTAAAGTAAATGTTTGCATCAGAACCATTTGTTTTTATCACTACCTCGTCCTTTAAGAAGTTCTGCTTCTCTCTGTTGATTTGGAAAAATATAATGCCAAAAACCAATTCCCCTCTTCTCATTAATAAAGACCCACGGTTTTCCATGAATGTCCATGAATGTATATTATAACAATAGAATTATTGCATGTGCTCATTTTCCTAGCCAGCTGCTTTATTTAATGCAGCTTTTATTTTAAGAAGACAGAAATGATATTGTACCATCCATGTCTAGTGAAGGCAATTATTTGTAATGCCAGTAAATTGTAATAACTTGTGGTAAGTTGTAGCCAGAATAGGAGTGATGACTTCACCATGTAGACAAGTAGCTTATTGACTTTGTGGAAAATAATGTTATATAAAAGATGTAGTTTTTCTGAGCTTGGAATAATTTATCTATCTGTCCATCCAACCATCCATCTATTTTTTTTTTTGAGTTGGAGTCTCACTCTGTTGCCCAGGCCTGAGTGTAATGGCATGCTCATGGCCACTACAGTCTCGACCTGCTGGGCCCAGGTGATCCTTCCGCCTCAGCCTTCCAAGTAGCTGGAACTATAGGCAGGTGCTACCATGCCTGGCTAATTTTTGATTTACTGTAGAGACGAGATCTCGCCAAGTTGCCCAGGCTAATTTTTTGATTTACCGTAGAGACGAGATCTCATCAAGTTGCCCAGGCTGGTCTTGAATCCCTGGACTTAGGCAATCCTCTAGCCTCAGCCTCCCAAAGTGCTGGGATTACAGACTTCAGCCACCACACCTGGCCTTCATCCATTTGTATATAAGTGTGTGTGTGTGTGTGTGTGTGTGTGTGTGTGTATGCATGTATATATTACATTGAAATAAGCGTTGTGGCACCACAGGGAAATTGTTTATTTTTCTGTTTTGCAAAATCAGTGAAATGTCAGAAATGTCACTACTTTTGAGGAAAATCGTCTGTTCACACCACTTCCTCCTCTTTTTAAATTTATTTTCATCAGTTCATCTGTGATGGTGGATGGGGTCGTAATTAGTCTGTGTTGCAATTCTAAGACCAAGTCCGTGGCTTTACAGCTGACTGACGGCCAGATACTTAAGTATCTTTGGGGTGAGTATAAAAGTGTTAGGAAAGCATGTTTATGATTTACATAGATGTTCGATTCTTGAGAACGTGGAGTTGTGAGTATCTTGTCAGTGCAACTACTTTGTTAGGTCTTTTAACTATCCTGGGAATCCCTAAGCTGTAGAGTGGAATTGGCAGGTGTATTCTACTCCTATTTTCTCTTGTAATGAACTAGAGTACCCTGATGAGTTTCCAAAATGCATTTGGAAAGTGATCCAAATTGCATGTTAAGTGTTTTAGCAAGTATTGTTGTTGGTTTTTTAAAAGAGCACATCAGCTGTTTGTAAAGCAGACCTGCCAATTTTGCAGAATCACCTTCTCTGACTGCTAAACCATGGAAGAACTCTGCTGGATTTCCCGTTCAGTTTCCTTATCCATGCACACAGACTGAATTGGCCATGATTGGAGGAGAGGTAAATGAACCACTTTTTTTTTTGGGACAGGATCTCACTTTTGCCCAAGATGGAGTACAGTAATGTGATCATAGCTCTCTGCAACCTTGAACTCCCAGCTAATTTTCTTTTTTACTTTAAAAAATGTCTTGTAGGGACGAAGTCTCACTGTGTTGCTCTTTTCGAACTCCTGGCTTCAAGCGTTCCTCCTGCCACATCCTCCCAAAGTGCTGGGATTACAAGTGTGAGCCACCACACCTGGCCTGTAAACTTAGCATTTAAAGTAGTTACGTAGGCATTGTCAGCATAGGTGGAAAGAACCTGGGCTTTGGAGGTGAACCTGGGTTCCCACTAAATCCCAGGGCAACATTGGGAAGTTATTTCATTTTCCTGAGCCAACTTTCATCATCTGTAAAATGGGAAAATCTGCGTCTGTCTTTCAGGTTCAGGGAAAGACTAGATGAGATGTGCGTGATCGGCAAATGTTTATCCTTAGTTATATGGAATATTCAAAGTTAGTTTTATTAAATATATTTTGGCCAGGTATGGTGGTTCATGCCTGTAATCCCAGTACTTTAGGAGACTGGGGCAGGAAATTGCTTGAGCCCAGGAGTTTGACACCAGCCTAGGCAACATAGCCTAATTTTTAAACAATTTTTTGTCTCTATAATAACACTGGGGATAGTGGTGCACTTCTGTAGTCCCAGCTACTTGAGAGGCTGAGGTGGGAGGATAGTCTGAGTGCAGGAGCTTGAGGCTGCTGTGAGCCATAATTGTGCCACTTCACTCCAGCCTGGGTGACAGAGTGAGACTCCAACTCAAAAGATAAAAAATAAAAATTTTGAGGAGCACAGAAATGTGATCTTGAAAATTGTATTGAGTAGATTATTATTCTGCAAATACTAGAATGCTTATAATTGTGGTGGGTGGTAGGATACAGTGGTTACAAAACAAAACAACTGACTAATCCCTGCTCTTCTGGAATTTGTAATCTATTATTATAGATATCATTATTTCCTTTGATGGGAGAGTAAAGGAAATGAACAGGGTGTAATGGTAGAGAATAGTGAGGTATTTGAGGGATAAGTAGAAATGATAACTATGAGAATGGGAGTCCTTCTTTTGGTGGTCTGAGAAAGCCTCTCTCAGATGGTAATGTATATGCTGAGATGGGAGGAAAAGGCTGTCTCCTCAGGAAGGCAGAGTATTCTGGGTAGAAGAAACTACAAACACCTTGACCATGGCAAGAGCTTATTTTATTCAAGGAATTGGATAAAATTTTATTTTATTTTATTCAAGGAGTTTGGAATTTTTTTACTTAACAAAGATTAGAAGGTTATTGATGATTTTTAGTCAATAGAGTGATATGTTCTGTTTTGTGGTTTGAAAAGTGATTCTACCCGCCCAGAGGACAATAGGTTGGAGACAGATGTGAGTGGAATTGGGGATCAACACAGAGACTGTCAGGGTGGAGTCAGTGAAGGAGGGAAAGGAGATGTATTTGAGATATGCAGGGGAGATAGAAGTGACAGAGCTTGCTGATGGATCGCATAGAATCATTTTCCATTTTGTACTGGACTGGTCATCTTAGGTATCTATATTCCAATCCTGATTACGAGAACTTAGATGTAAAATTATAGAACTATGTAGTAGAAACTATAAGTCTAACTGGTTTGAAATAGAATTGCTTGTAATTTCAGTTGTATTTCTTTGCAGGAATGTGTCCTTGGTTTGACTGACAGGTGTCGCTTTTTCATCAATGACACTGAGGTAGCAAGACTTGATTTGCTGTTGAGTCCTTTTCATAGTGTTGGCTCCAGGTATTAACAATATAACTAACTTTCCTCTTGCCTCTCTTGTTGCAGGTCGCATCAAATATCACATCATTTACAGTATATGATGAGTTTTTATTGTTGACAACCCATTCCCATACCTGCCAGTGTTTTTGCCTGAGAGATGTTTCATTTAAAAGTAAGTTTTCAGTGTATAAAATAGAGATAATCCCTTTTGCAGGTCTTTTGTCTTGTGAAGTCTTGATGACTTTCAAATTCTTCACCTACCAAAGCTCTTTATCCATGAGACTGGAGAAAACGAGTTCATCTGCTTAGACCCTAATCTCAGTTAGATCATTCTGTAAAGACATTCCAAGAAGGAGTTCTATCCTTAAGCAGCACATTCTAAAGTTAAAATTGTTTGAAGAAATCTTACTATATAACTGATCTTGTATTTTATTTTGAATTACCTTGTAGATCCCAAACTGGTAGTATGTTCTTATTTCCTTTTCTCACTGTGGTTACCCTCCAGTATACATCTGGACTCTAACTTGTGGTTTTTAGGATATTGGCTCCACTTTTTCTTCTCTTCCATGTGCCACCTGTGTGTGTGTGTGTGTGTGTGTGTGTGTGTGTGTGTGTTTCTTACTCTAAAAGCCCACTTTTTTTTGCTTCTAACCTGGAAACAGGGAATCTTTCATTTATATGATTATAATACACTAATAATGCTAAGAAACAGAGAAACCGCTCCAGTTCTTCCTGTGTTTGTCCAAATCATTCGAGAAGTTGTGTATGTGAATGTGCATGTATGCATGAGGGTGCTATGAGAGAGAGCACGTTCCAGGGATGACCCTCAGAAGAGTTTAGGGTCTTGAGATTAAGTGGGAGAGCTTCGAACCTGTTTTTTTTTTTTGAGTTGGAGTCTCACTCTGTCGCCCAGACTGGAGTGCAGTGGCCGCTCCTAGCCACCGCAGCCTCGACCTGCTGGGCTCCGGCGCTCCTTCCACCTCAGCCTTCCAAGTAGTCGGAATTACAGGCATGTGCTACCACGCCCGGCTGATTTTTTGATTTATTGTAGAGATGAGGTCTCACTGCCCAGGCGGGTCTCGAACCCGCAGGCTCAGGCAATCCACTCACTTCAGCCTCCCAAAGGCGTGTGATTACAGGCTGAGCCACTGAGCCTGGCTGGCACCTGGTTTTTAATTTCTCTCTTCTACTCAGTTAATATGTGTGGTTTCAACTGCAATTAATGGAGAGTGGCTTATGATAATTCTTGAGGCTCAGCCAGTGATGTCTTTAGCATTACAGGCAGGTCTGAGCAGCAATCATGTGTCCAATGGGGAAATTCTACGGAAGGTGGAAAGGGGTTCACGGATTGTCACTGTTGTGCCTCAGGACACAAAGCTTATATTACAGGTAAGCTGGTTTTTCAGGCTTTCTGATTGCCATTTAGTCAATACCACCAGAATTCTTGGAAGTTGTTTTTAGGCTTTCTTATCATTTGTAATAATTTATTGTAAACCTTTCCTTGTTAGGTTTTGTTAACTTTATACAAAGAAGTGTTGATACAGGTTCTGACCAGTAAGGCTCAAAGGGAAACTTTTCTTGAAAGTCAGGATAAATATTGAGAACATGTGATATTTGATTTTCTGTACCTGGGTTAGTTCACTTAGGATGTTGTTCTCCAGTTCCATCCAAGTTGCTTCAAAATACATTATTTCATTCTTTTTGGCAGCTGAATAGTATTCCATAGTGTATACTGGGGTACCAAAAAAATGTATACACATTTAAAGGGATGTTCGTCATGATCAAAAGTGTCTGTACACTGATGGTAACCACTTTCAGCACCTCTTGCAATTGCAGAAGTCAAATGTAACTTTCATTCATCTTATTGAGTATTACAATTTTAATACAGTTTTTTTCTTTCTTAAAGTATGTGTAATTTTTTTTGCACCTTCTGCATATACCACATTTTCATTATCCACTGATCCGAAGATGGGCATTTAGGCTGATTCTACATTTTTGCAGTTGTGATTTGTGCTGCAATAAACATGTCAGTGCAGGTGTCTTTGTTATATAACGACTCTGTTCCTTAGGGTAGGTATCTAGTAGTGGGATTGCTGGATCAAACGATAGATCTACTTTTAGTTCTTTGAATAATCTCCATAGTGCTTTCCATAGAGGTTGTACTAACTTACACTCCCATCAACAGTGCATAGATGTTCCCTTTTCTCAATATCTGTACCAGCATCTTCTGTTTTTTTATTTTCTAATAATGGCTATTTCTACTGGCATAAAGTGGTTTCTCGTTGTGGTTTTAATTTGCACTTCCCTAATGATGAGTGATGTTGAGAATGTTTTTATATGTTTCTTGGTCATTTTTTGAGAGATGTCTGTTCATGTCATTTGCCTACTTTTTAATGGGGTTATTGCTTTTTCTTTGCTGATTTGTTTTGAGTTATTTGTAGATTTTGGATATTAGTCCTTTGCCAAATGTATAGTTTGCAGACATCTTCTTCCATTGTATTGGTTGCCTGTTTGCTTTGTTTATTTCTTTTGCTGTGCAGAAACCTTTTGGTTTAATTAAGTCCCACTTATTTGTTTTTTTGCTGCATTTGCTTTTGGGGTTTTAGCCATAAATTCCTTGCCTAGACTGATGTACAGAGTTTTTCCAAGATTTTCTTCTAGAACTAGATTATGCTAAACCTGTTCATTTTACAGCATTGTGGTAGAGTTAGGTAAAAATTGTGTATTCTGGCTATTTAAATTTTTCTATTTAGTTAAAATGTTATTTCATTTATTTTAAGATGCCAAGAGGAAATGTAGAAGTTGTTCATCATCGAGCCCTGGTTTTAGCTCAGATTCGGAAGTGGCTGGACAAGTAAGTGCCATGTATGTGACTAGTTAGCCTGTGACATGTTTAAAGACAAGTATTTTATTACAATTTTTAAAACTTGTGGAAAACTTTCATTACAGAGATCTTCTATCTGATTCTCAGAGGCTTTTTTTTTTTAACTTTAAATACTGTATTTTGTAGCTGACATTCCTAGCAGAAAGAATCATAACATTCTTCATTTATATGCAGGGTTTCTCTTAACTTAAGGGATTCCATCTGGGCTTTAGGTGGCCTGTGAATCCAGGGGAATTGTACCCCAGACTTTGTATTTATCTAGGTAGAAAGCTCATGGTTTTTGACAGATTTACAGAGTAGCCTATGACCCCAAAAAGCCTGAGCCACTCTCATGAAGAAAACGATTGACTTTCTGAATCTGTTTGGGGGAAACTTTACATTAGAAAAATTTGTATTTGTGCTTTGTTTAAAAAGTAGACCTAAATTCTATGATGATTTTTATGTGTATATGGGGGATATAGTCCTCAGATTGCCATTATGACTAAATCACATCTTTTAAGAAGGTAGATGAATGTAGTAGCTGATTTTTTTAATTTTTTGAGTCGGAGTCTCACTCTGTCACCCAAGCTGGAGTGCAGTGGCACACTCACGGCCACCACAGCCTCAACTTGCTGGGCTCAGGCAATCCTTCCGCTTCAACCTTCCAAGTAGCTGGAACTATAGGCGTGTGCCACCATGTCCAGCTAATTTTTTGATTTACTGTGGAGGTGAGGTCTCTTCAGGTTGCCCAGGCTGGTCTTGAACCCCCGGACTTAGGAAGTCCTCTTGCCTCTGCCTCCCAAAGTGCTGGGATTATAGGCACGAGCCACCATGCCTGGCAGATTTTTTATTCTATAATTTCAGAGTAAATAGAAATCCAGTAGTAGTTATTTGGCTTTTGGGCTATAATCTGATTATAATTGAATTGTATCATACTGAAAAGTATGCTGGGCCCAGGGAGCTAAGTTTTTGTAAAATACCCTTTCTGTCCATTCTCTGTCTCCTCACAGACTTATGTTTAAAGAAGCATTTGAATGCATGAGAAAACTGAGAATTAATCTCAATCTGATTTATGATCATAACCCTAAGGTAACTTTCTAAATCTGACATTTATTTTAGCTTACTTTATACTTGAACTAATGTGATCTGAACTAAAATAGTTTTCTTTTTTTGATAGGTGTTTCTTGCAAATGTGGAAACTTTCATTAGACAGCTAGATTCTGTAAATCATATCAATTTGTTTTTCACAGAATTGAAGTAAGTATTTTGAATAATTCATGAGTATCAAAACATAAATAGCTAGAGAAGAAAGATTATTTACTGTTCATTTTTTTAAAATTACTATAACTCTCAAATGACAGTTGGTTTTCTGCTCTTTTCTTTTTTTTTTTTTTTTTTTTTTTTTGAGTTGAAGTCTCACTCTGTCGCCCAGACTGGAGTGCAGTGGCCGCTCCCGGCCACCGCAGCCTCACTTGCTGGGCTCCAGCGATCCTTCCGCCTCAGCCTTCCAAGTAGCCGGAATTACAGGCATGCGCTACCACACCCGGCTGATTTTTTGATTTATTGTAGAGATGAGGTCTCGCTGCCCAGGCGGGTCTCGAACCCGCGGGCTCAGGCAATCCACTCACCTCAGCCTCCCAAAGGTGCGGGATTACAGGCTGAGCCACCGAGCCCGGCTCTGCTCTTTTTTTAAAGTAAAAAACCTCTTTAAAACTGTGTCATTCAGAATTATTATTTGACTTGATTTTTAGGTATAGATATAAAACTATTTGATGGAGATTGAAATCAAGTGGTACTTTTTTCTATCATGATTTTTTTCCAAGACAGGGTTTAACTCTGTCACCCAGGCTGGAGTGCAGTGATATGATCATGGCTCACCACTGTCTTGAAGTCTTGGGCTCAAATGAACCTCCTACCTCAGTCTTCTGAGTAACTGGGACTGCCGACGGCCACCACCATACCTGGCTAATTTTTCTATTTTTTGTAGAGAAGTGATCTTGCTTTGTTGTCCAAGTTGGTCTTGAACTCCTGATCTCAAGCAGTCCTCCTGCCCTGGCTTCCCAGAGTACTGGAATTACAGACATGAGCCACCACGTCCAACCTTCCCCCAACTTTTTAATGAAACATTTAAACTTATAGAATAATTGAGAGAGTTGTTCAGTAAGCACCCTGTACCACCATCTAGATTCTCCAGTTCATAATTTCCTGCATATGCATTATCTGTCCATCGTTCACTTTGTTTTTAGAAAATTTCAAAGTAAGTTATAGATATCAGGACACCTTTCTTCCAGCACTTCACCTTGCATAGCATTAACCAGAGTGTATTCTTTGGTTTTTTGGACCTGTTTAGATCAAATTTATCTACAGTGAAATGTACAAGTCTTAAAGTGTGTCATTCTGTAAGTTTTGACAGATGTATACTTCATGTAACCTGGACCCCTATCAAGTTAGCATTTCCTTCTTCTCAGAAAATTGCCTCAACTGCTTTCTCCGTCAGCCCCTGTCCTACCTACCCTCTCTGCAACTACAGTTCTGAATATTTCACCATAGATAAGTTTTGCCTGTTCAAGAACTTCATATAGGTTGGGCTTGCTGGCTCAGCCTGTAATCCCAGCACTTTGGGAGACTGAGGTGAGTGGATTGTTTGAGGCTGCAGATTCGAGACCAGCCCGGGCAATTTGGTGAGACCTCATCTCTACAATAAATCAAAAATAAGCCGGGCATGATAGCACGCGCTTGTAGTTCTGGCTACTTGGAAGGCTGAGGCGGAAGGATTGCCGGAGCCCAGCAGGTCAACGCTGGGGTTGCCGTCAGTGTGCAACTGCATTCCAGCTTGGGCGATGGAGTGAGACTCCAACTCAAAAAAAAAAAAAGAGAACTTCATATAAATGGAAGCATAAAGTATTTATTCTTCTGCATAAATAAAACTGTCTTCATTAGTGTAATGTCTTAAGATTTATCTTTGTTTTTGCATGTATCACTAGTCCATTCTTTTTTGTTGCTCAGTAGTATACCATTGTATAAATATATCACCATTTTCTTTATTAATTTCCCCTATTGGTTGGATACCTCGATTGTTCCCTATTGGGGGCTAATGTGAATAAAACATCTGTCAACATTATTATACAAGTCTTTTGTGGACATATTTTATTTCTCAATGTTTTTATAATTAAACTGTTTTCCAAGGCCATTTTTACTTATTATCTCATCAGCATGCCAGGTATATGTTAGTAGTTTGATCCCTGGGCTACATGTTCCATTTGTGACCTTTTCATACATACTTGTTTTTAGGGAAGAAGATATCACACAGACCATGTACCCTCCACCAGTTACCAGCAATGTCCAGCTGTCCAGGGATCCTGATGAGAAAAAACTAGACCTTGTCTGTGATGCTATGAGAGCAGCCATGGAGAGCATAAATCCTCACAAGTACGTATGCTGTCTCTAGTTGGTATCTTTCTAATAATGGAAGTGGATAGTTATCCTTGTTTAGCTTCTTCATTGTTCTCATTCTGGTGTTCTTAACCTATTACCTTAGGTACTGCCTGTCAATACTCACATCTCACGTGAAGAAAACAACCCCAGAACTGGACATTGTGCTGCAGAAGGTACACGAGCTTCAAGGTAGAGACCTGCTCGGAGAGAAAGTACTTCATGCGGTTTTGACTCTCACTAGTCTTCTGCAGATGATCATTACCATGTCATTGTCACATCACAGATTTCATGTGTGCCCTTTTGGTCACCATTCATTTATTTACTTATTATTTTTTGAGTTGGAGTCTCACTCTGTCACTCAGGCTGGAGTGCAGTGGCACGCTCACGGCCACCACAGCCTCAACCTACTGGGCTCAGGCAATCCTTCTGCCTCATCCTTCCAAGTAGCTGGAACCACAGGCATGTGCCATCTGACTAATTTTTTGATTTATTGTAAAGACTAGGTCTTGCCAAGTTGCCCGGGCTGGTCTCGAACCCCTGGGCTCAGGTAATCCTCTTGCTAGGCCTCCCAAGGTGCTGGGATTACAGACTTGAGCCACCACACCCAGCTTGGTCACCATTTTAACACCTGTGTATCCTAGATCTGATAGAGAGTACATGGTTTTTGTGACATCCTCTTCCCTAAGAATAAGTGTGTATGAAAAGATCACTACCTGAACATGTGGCCTAGTACTGCCCTATAAAGCATGTACAAAAGAGTCAAAAGTATATATTCATTTGTTACTTTGTTTCTTTGATTATTTTGCTAGATCTGTGGGTTTTTTTCCTCAAATAGTTTAGATCTGTTTTGTTTTCTAAACACTGACAGGAAATTCTTCATCTGTTCCTGATGCTGTGAGTGCTGAAGAAGCTCTGAAATATTTGCTGCTTCTGGTAGATGTTAACGAATTGTATGATCATTCTCTTGGGACCTATGACTTTGATTTGGTCCTCATGGTAGCTGAGAAGTCACAGAAGGTATATGGAGTTACTACTTTTCCTCCATCTTGGTTCTTGTTTATACCATATAATCACAGTAGTAGAAAAGCTGCTCCTGACGGTGCAGTATCTTTTCTGAGGTGAACCCTGTGAGTGTAGAACTGGAGTCACGTCCATGGATCTCTGGGTCGCATTCCTAAGCCTCTGTCATTGTTCTGGACTATGAAAGTAGTGTGATTGCTAGATTGAGGAAGTAAAATTACATGGTTATTTTTAGGATTTTAGTCATGTGTGTAAAGTCATTCCTCTCATTAAGGAAATGTAGCAAATGATTCAAGTGCCCCTCCAGTTCTTTATCACATAGCTCTTTTTTCTGGTGGAGAGTGGACTCATGGAGCACAGAAAGGCTCAGGGCCTCTTTTCCATGTTGATATGTAATTCTGCAGTCAAAAAGCTTGAGTACTACTGGTCTATGTGTTCTTTATCTAGCTTTTTGTAGCTTGTCTCTTCCCCATAATCTTTTCAAAAAGGAAAACAGAATCCTTCCTTTCTCTACTTGAAAGCCTTCATGTGCTTCCTCTTGTCCCCAGGATAAAGTTCAGAAAATACAGTATTTGCAAGATTTGAGGCTCGTGGATACAGAGGGCCGATTTTTTGTATAAGCAAGTTCTGCAGGGCAGAGTGTATGACTTGAGTATGCTCTAGTATAGTTGAATTTTGGTATCCTTGGGGCGTCCTGGAAGTAATCCCCCACAGATACTGAGGGACAATTATAGTTTGATTTCTTATATTTTACCAAAAAATCAAATTGTATGTAAAATCAAACATATATATGTGTTTACATAAAATATAAAAATATGTTTTATATAAAAGATACATTATGTAAGTAGTGATATATTATACAAAAATATACATTATATAATACACATTACATGTTAAACTTGTATAGATTTGGGCTTATTACTGTATATAAATGTTATGTTTATTTTTATGTGTAAATCTAATAAGTAATAAAGTTCTCATTATTCATTTTCTTAGGATCCCAAAGAATACCTTCCATTTCTTAATACACTTAAGAAAATGGAAACTAATTATCAGCGGTTTACTATAGACAAATATTTGAAACGATATGAAAAAGCTATTGGGCACCTCAGCAAATGTGGTAAGTGTGAGGATTTGTATGTTTATTTCCGCTTCACATTTTCTTTGTAACTAGGCAAGATATAAATTAAAATGTTCATTTAACAGAGAATGAGTTCAGTTCCTGCTCCTGAGAACAATTATGAATGTTCGCCTTACAAAGCAAGTCACTTTTAATGAATTGGAAGCTCTCCCTACCTAAAAACATTCTTTTTGGGTTAAGATTGAGCACCTCTGAAATTAACTTCAGTGTCTCAATCAAATTGGTCGACAATAAACTCTCTGATGGTGTCTGTGAACATGTGAGGGAAACTTTACCTTGTCTAGAGTGAGTGGCTAGGCCTGCTGCCCTGTGTTCTGGAACACAGTTTTAACGGGCAGTGACAGTGCCATTTCTGCTTCATCCTGTCCCTTTCCCATGCTGGAGAAGTTTGATTCTTTACTGAGGACTGGGTTGGGGGTGGGGGGAGTGAGGAAGAATCACCTGGTGGGGAGGATGTTAAGCATTCAGTTTTTGGCATCCTTGGAAAATATGATTCAGCTGGTCTGGGATAGGACTGAGGCAGTGTGTGTGTGTGTTTAATAAGCACACACACTGTTTTGATTTCTTATCAAAAAGCTTGAGAAAACATTGAGCTGGATAGCTGGAATCTTAAATAGAATGCTGATCCCAGTCACTGCTTCTCTTACCTCAGAATCTGCTTTAGGGCCAGTTAAAAATTCAAACTCCTGGATTCCATTTTCCAGGTACAGTATTCTGATTATGTAGGTGATTATGTAAGTTGATTTTGTTTGGTGATTATTGGTATAGATGAAGTCCTTTATGCTTCCCAAGTCTTAAGCCTGTGTTTTCTGTAAATCTTGTTCTTGCAGGATCTGAGTACTTCCCAGAATGCTTAAACTTAATCAAAGATAAAAACTTGTATAATGAAGCTTTGAAGTTATATCCACCAAACTCACAGCAGTACAAGGTGTGTGATGTGTGTGAGGCCCTATTGGTTTTCTTTGTACAGTAGTTGGAAAGGGGTGACGATCCTGAGTGTATGATGTCATCTTTTGCTCCAGGGTTTGTTTTAATGCTAATTTGCCTTATCTTGAACTACTTATCTGGGAGGATGGTCCTGACCTGTAGAAATTGCCCAGGCCAGATTCTCTGATTCCTCATTCAAAATACTATACCAGTTTCCATATGACTTCTGCTTCCTTCTCTAGTCCAGCCTCACTGCTGCAAGCCTGATCATCCTAAAAAAGTACAGATCTTTCCCATATAGTTCAAGATAAAGGGAAAGTTCTGTTTATTTAAACAATCCTCTATTTAGCTTTTCTCATATGCCAAGCACTTTGCTTTTAAGCTAAATGTACTATATGATCCTCATAACAGCCTGAAAGGATGCTGTGAACAATTTATAGATGAGGAAGATCAGGGATCAGAAGCTGCAAAGTGGCAGACCTGGGACACAAAGCTCAGGCTACTCATGACCACCTTGCCCATGCCACTAACCATGCTCTACCATGCCTCCAGCATCACCGTTTTCAGTTTGTCCTCAGGTGCCTGCACATCTTTCTATGGCCTTGCCCCTGCCAACTTCTTTAGCGCCACTCTCCACATCCCAGTCACTTGTTCCACAAATGTTACACCACACGGTTTCTCTGCCAGCTCTTCACCCTTCCCTTCCTTTAGCCACACTTGTCCATCCAAACTCCTGGATCTCCTTCTCCGAAAGCCATTCTTGGACTAGGTGCCAGGTGCTGAGCTGCCAGAGCACCCTGTTCTTACCTCAGTGATTGCATTTGTCAAACTGCTATTGTACTGCTTTGCCTCCCCCCAGAGGCTGTGGGCTTCTTAAGGGCAGGGACTTTGTGTTGTATTCCTCTCTCATCTCTGCCTAACAGCAAGCCTGGGAACAGAGGGTTTGGCCAGTGGCTGCCTGTTTCCTCTCTTTTTATATTCCTCTCTCTTATGTTCTCTCTGCTCCAGTCACACCTGCCTTCCTGTTACTCTGACCTGCCATACACATTCCTGCTGTGTGACTGTGGTGCCTTATGCACTCTTCATCTAGACACCTCCCTAATTTGTCACATGTCTTATGCAGAGCCCAGGAGGTCAGGTTTGCAGCTATCAGAGATAGCACTCCCAGAGGGGTGCGAGGAGAATCTGTTCTCTATCCCTTCACCTCTGTTGTTATGTTGTAGACTATCATGCCTGTAGTTCCATCCTCTATCAACATAAGAGCAGGCACTTGGTGGTGGTTCTTGTTTGGTTTTCATTTGTCTGGTTTTATTTTTTTGCCTTGCTGTGTTATTCCCAATGCCCAAAATAGTGCATTTGTAGGTACTCAGCAGTTTTGTTTTTTTTTTAGTGAGTACATGGCACATCCCCAGTAAGATTTTGAATGGGTGATTGAACTAACTGATCAACCATAGTATTTTCCCATGGAATTTTATTTTATATTTTTAAAATCAAGGTCTCATTCTCTCACCCAGGATGGAGTGCAGTAGCACACAGCTCGCCGCAGCCTTGACCTTCTGGGCTCAGGTGTTCCTTCTGCTTCAGCTTCCCGAGTAGCTGGGACTATAGGTACACACCTCCACACCCGGCTAATTTTTTGATTTTTTGCAGAGATGAGGTTTTAAGATGTTGTCCAGGCTGGTCTCAAACTCTTGGGCTCAAGCAGTCCTCCTGCCTTAGCCTCTTAAAGTACTAGGGTTGTAAGTGTGAGCACCACATCTGACCCCAAGTAACTCTTTCAAGAGAGTTTCAAATACAGTGACTAAGGCCTATACTTTAGCTTTAAAGACATGATTATCACGTTTCCTCATTGACCCTAAATCTCCTCTTGTCACAGGATATCAGCATTGCTTATGGGGAACACCTGATGCAAGAACACATGTATGAGCCAGCAGGGCTTGTGTTTGCCCGCTGCGGTGCCCATGACAAAGCTCTCTCAGCCTTTCTGACTTGTGGCAGCTGGAAACAAGCCCTCTGTGTGGCAGCCCAGCTTAACTTGACCAAAGACCAGCTGGCAGGCCTCAGCAGAACTCTGGCAGGTAAGCATGGTCATTTATTTGTCTATTTCTCCAAAGGATTTTTTTTTCTTTGTTTTGTTTGTTAGTTTTGCAAATAAATTTAGGGCAGTATACCTCATACTCACTGATAAAAATTAATTTAGAGTGGCTTATTAAATAGGGTAAAGATTATGCTGCTACAACAGGAGTCCAAAATGCAATGGCATAATAAAGATAGCAGTTCCTCTCACACAGAGGCTGAAAGGTCCTTTCATTGTGTAGCTCTGCAGCCTTTTAGGCAAATGGTTGTAGTTGGGTGATCTCCTCCCCACATATGCATTCCAGTCCTTTGGGGGCATGGGGAGAGCGGAAGCTAGAGTCATGGGAAAACACATTTACATTGGAACAGACCTGCAAGTTAGACTATCACTTGTAGTCCATCTTATCCACCGAAATTTATATCATGGCTACATCTAATACCAAGAAGCTGGGTGACCTGTGCCCTGTAAGAAGGTGAAGATGAATTTTGGGATGGGGCCACCATTCTGTTATAGTCAATAGATCTTTGGAAACTGTAATAGCATTGGCCAGAAATGAAGTGGAAGAAAAGGCCAAATGTCCAAGTTGTCTGAAAGTAAAGGCAGTTTAGCTACTTCAAGGTCTAGGAATTGTCTGAACCTGATGTGAGGCTGGTGGTAGGGTTTGATATTTTTAGAGTTGAAGAAAGGTTAAAGAAGCCTGTGAGAATAGCTGAGCAGGGGCTGTGGCCTTATCAACAGTGCTTGAAGGAAAGGAAAGACTGGTAGATTTATCCTCCTACCTTTTAAAAATCTTGTGGTCTCAAAAAAAAAGTCCTGAAAAAATTTGCAGATGATATCCAGTTAAGTTTATGTACATATGCTCTATTATTTACATTATTCCTTTTTTCTTGGGATTAGAAAATTATATGAGATTATCATTTTTCTTTCTTTGGTTATTCAGTCTAATCTGTAGGTTCTTCTATAATTCCTCTCAGTTCTCAAGATGAACTCTTTTTTAAAATGTTGAGAATTCCTTAGACCTCTTAATTATTCCTTCTGGTTCCATTGTTACTTCTGCTTTACAAACTTATATAACTGGTAGTTTATACCTTACAGTTCTATTCTATTATTTTCTCTTATATTCTTTGTAACTCTTAATTTGCTATTTACCGTGTCTTATGATGAAATATACTTAGATCTCTCAGATGTTTAGCAAAAAGAGGTTGGGAGGGGAGTGGTCAATGACCTTTGAGAAATGTTATACAGTGGAGTCATTTTATGTGCATATTTAACTTAGGCAGTTTACACAAGCCAGCAAAAGAAAAAGATAACTATTTAAATAGTGGAGGTGATTCTGCCTAATTTTTTTTTTTTTTGAATTGGAGTCTCACTCTGTCGCCCAGACTGGAGTGCAGTGCTGCTCCCAGCCACCGCAGCCTCTACCTGCTGGGCTCCAGTGATCCTTCCACCTCAGCCTTCCGAGTAGCCGGAATTACAGGCACACGCTACCACACCTGGCTAATTTTTTTGATTTATTGTAGAGATGAGGTCTCGCCTGCCCAGGCGGGTCTCGAACCCGTGGGCTCAGGCAATCCACTCACCTCAGCCTCCCAAAGGCGCGGGATTACAGGCTGAGCCACCGAGCCCGGCTCTTTTTTTCTTTTTTTAGGGATAATATGCTCTGCAGTGAGCGTGAGATGAGAGATATGAATCTGCCAGCCCCTTTTTGTAAGACTGGTTCTGTGTACCTCTCTGTGTGATTTATTGCAACAGGGCTGAGAGTAACTAGAATGTAATACTGCATGACCCAAGCGTAAGTCAGCCACCTTCACCTAGTGCTTAACCAAAGAAATAGCAGTCTCTTCCTGCTAGTAGAAGGAATGGATTAGTGAGAGATACCTGATCAGTTTTCCTTACATACCTTTGGAAGCATTTTTCAAGGCTAATTTTGGCTACACAAGATTTTCAAATCCTGTGCTAAATTTAGATTCTAACTGCTATTTAAGGTAGGACTCCCTAGTATATGTACCTATTCAAAATTCCTCACAGAAATCCACAAAGTACATAGTTTGATACTTAAAGACATTAAATAAAGACCTTAAAAAGAACTTTGTTGTAAAATGCTTATTGTTATTTTTGCAGAAAAACTGGTTGAGCAGAGGAAGCACATTGATGCAGCCATGGTTTTGGAACAGTACGCCCAGGTAAACTCCGTTCCTAAACCACAGTCAACAAGAAAGGACTTCTTGGTTGTACCTTACTGATCACGAAAATTAACAGAATTGTGGGTAATTGTTAAATCCAGAAGTAGTGTTTACCCCAAAGGTCTTTCATCTTGCTGACTTCACTTAGAAATTGAAATTCAGATATATTTCTAAATAATAAATCTTGTGAGGTAGAATACCAAAGACCTCTACTATAATATATAATAATAGCATGACCTTGGTAGAAAGTACTAAATTAAATCTCAAGGTTATTGTGCTTTTTGGTTAACCGTGAGAAAGGACCATTATGAAACAAAGTAATTGAATGTTACATACTTTTTGACTTTTATTCCCATTCGCTCTCTGTTGGAAAGTTTCTTTTGCCACAGCAGCCTGAGGCCTTCTAATTTTACAGCAGATTTTGAGGATAAAGTACCCCTATGAGCATTTGGTAGAATTATAGGACTTATTATGAAAATAATAAGACTATACTGACAATGTCTGTAGACGAATAGCACAGAGTACATAGTTGACACTAGGGAGCACTGCCTTGCAGAGTTTTAGCTTTTGAGAGAGTGTTTTTTTATAGTTGTTACTGGTGGACACATTTATGGAACATAATTGTGCTTTTAAAGTATCTGTGTCTCTCATATAATAAGAGTGAGTAAAAGAAGGTAACTAAAATTTTATATCATTAGATCCTGGCGATTGAGTTCAAAACATCAATGACTAAAACATGATTAAGAGGGTAGAGAAGTTAGAGTGGAAAGATATACTTCCTAAGAGGGTTAATTAAATGGCACCATCTTTTTTTCATTATAAATAAGGATTAATTCATGAAAGTATTATACACAATTTTATGTTGTAAAATTGTGTATTTTACGTATGGTAAAATTAATTTGCCAATTTAAAATGAAGAATTAGATGCATTTTGACAAATATATGTAGTCATGTAGCCACCACCACACTCCACACTCGTGATAGAGGACATTTGTAACACCCCAAAAAGTTCCCTACTTCCCATTTTGCAGTCTTTTCTGTCTACTTCTAGTCTCTGGCAACCACTGATCTGCTTTCTGTCAGAAAAGTTTTGCTTTATCTAGAATTTCATGTAAATAGAACCATGTGGTATATAGCCTTTTTAGTCACTTACATAATGTATTTGAGATTCATCCATGTTGTAGTTGATTCCCTTTTATTGCTGAATAGTATTCCGTTGTACGGATACATCAGAATTTATGGATTCCTTCACCAGGTGATGTACATTTAGATTGTTTTCAGTTTGGAGCTATTATGAATACAGCAGCTGTGAATGTTCTAAAACAAGTCTTTGTGGGGACAGGAGTGAGAATGCTAAGTCATTTAGTAAGTGCATTTTAACTTTATAAGGAGCCACAGAACTCACACATCCCACCAGTGATGTGTGAGTGCCTCAGTTCTAGACTCACCAGCATTGGGTGTACCTCTGTGACACCAGGTGTATTATGTATGGCTACACAACAATTTACCTCAAAATTTAGCACCTTAAAACAACAAAAACCTATGTCACTTTTTTTTTTTTTTTTTGAGTTGGAGTCTCACTCTGTCACCCAGACTGGAGAGCAGTGGCCGCTCCCAGCCACTGCAGCCTCGACCTGCTGGGCTCCAGTGATCCTTCCGTCTCAGCCTTCCAAGTAGCTGGAACTACAGGCACGTGCTACCACACCCGGCTAATTTTTTTGATTTATTGTAGAGATGAGGTCTCGCCAAGTTGTCCAGGCGGGTCTCGAACCCACAGGCTTAGACAATCCACTCATCTCAGGCTTCCAAAGCATGGGATTACAGGCTGAGCCACCGAACCCAGCTAATCTCATTTTTTTATGGGCCAAGAATGTTGGGCTTAGCTAGGGTCCTGTGGCTCAGGGTCTTCCACAAGGCCACAATAAGGCATTGGCCAGGGTGGAGTCATCTCAAAACTTGACTAGGTTTTTAAAAAAATTTTATTTTTCAATTCTTATGTTACTAGTATATAGAAATATAGCTGATTTTTTATTTTCATTTTTTAGTGGGGGCAGTATATTAACCTTGTATCCTGCAACCTTATCAAACTCATTAGTTTTAGAAGCTTTGGGGTATATTCTCTAGGATTTTCTATATTAATGAACGTGGTTTCTATGAATAAAGATAGTTTTATATTTTCCTCAAAATTTATTTCTTCATATTTTTTTCTATCCCTAGTACATCTGCTAGTTAGTAATCCTAGCAGATGTACTAGGGATAGAAAAAAATATGAAGAAATTTATATATAATACAGCTGCTATTAGGGAGAAAAACTTAGTTGCCTTTTATCATTAAGTATGGTGTGCGCTTTTTTTTTTTTTGAGTTGGAGTCTCACTCTGTCACCTAGACTGGAGTGCAGTGGCGGCTCCCGGCCACCGCAGCCTCGACCTGCTGGGCTCCAGCGATCCTTCCACCTCAGCCTTCCAAGTAGCCGGAATTACAGGCATGCGCTACCATGCCCGACTGATTTTTTGACTTATTGTAGAGATAGGTCTCGCTGCCCGGGTGGGTCTCGAACTCGCGGGCTCAGGCAATCCACCCACCTCAGCCTCCCAAAGGCGTGGGATTACAGGCTGAGCCACCGAGCCCGGCGGTGTGTGCTTTTTTTAATGCTTTTTATTGCTGGGGTTGGCAAACTATAGCCTGTGACAAATCCAGCATGCCACCTGCTTTTGTAAATAAAGTTTTATTGGAACATAGCAATGTCCATTTGTTTACATATTGTTTGTGGCTGCTTTTACACTACAGCAACAGAGTTGAGTTGTGACAGAGATGGTTTGGCCCACAAAACCTAAAATATTTACCATCTAACCTTCTTATAGGAAAAGTTTGTCAATTCCTGCCCTCTTGGTTTGGGGAAATCCCCTTCTATTCCTTATTCTGAGAATTTTTATCATGAACTAGTGTTGAGTTTTGTCAAATGCATTTTTTTTGACTGCGATTTGGTTTTGTTTTGTTTTTAGACCAGTGATGTGATGAGTTACACTGATTTTTGATTGTTAACTCAACCTTGCCTACCATTAAGCCCCACTTGGTCATTATTTATTATCCTTTTTCTGAATTGGTGGATTAGATTTGCTAAAATTTTCTTGAGGATTTTTGTGTTTGTGTTCATGATGGATATGGGGTTATAGTTTTTTTTATGTCTGTCATGTTTAGGAAGTGTTCTTACTTTTCTGTTTTCTGGAAGATTTTGTGTAGAATTGATGTGTGAGAAGTTTGACTCCTAGTTAAAAACCTATGTGCAATATTTCAGACCTGACCATGAGCAATTATAGACTTTACCTAGGAGGCTGCATGGGGAAAAGCTGCCCTCCGACACCAGACTTGGTGTATTGCCAGTGTACTGCAGTTTCTAAATGGAGTCAGTCAAGGACTCAGACCCCCCAGCTGGTCCTGCTCTTGGCACGGTGTTTGCATTCCAAGCCTAGCATGCCTTCACTCCTAGGTCTCTTTATCTGAGGCCTTGAGCCAAGGTCTTCTCAGGCGCCTCTGCCAAGGCCTCCTTATTCAGGGAGAAGTGGGAAACCTTGAAGACACTTTTTCCCCCGCTCTGACTTGCTGCTCAGTATTTTTCCACTCTTAGCCCTCCCCTTTTACACCCCTGCCCCCCAACGTCCATAAAACTTCGAAACTCTTTTGTTCTGGGCTCCCTGAGTAGTGCAGCAACCCTTTTATCAGTGCTGATCCACATGACACTTGAACAGTGTGTTGTTCCTCGGGGAAGAATGAAACAGAGTTGGTACTGGTTTTAGCCTCTTGTTTATACCGATGAAATGACTAAAGGCTTAACTCTTTCATTTTTGTCGTGTTGCTTGAATCAGCTACTCCAACACTTGGCAGCTTTCTTCCAGCTCAGCTGAGCTCCTGACATGATTTTTTTTTTCTTAAATGTTTAATAGAATAACCAGTAAAACTATCTGAGCCTGGAGTTTACTTTAGAAAAGTAAAGAGCAAATTTAACACAAAGTAAGCAATAAGTAGGAAATAATAAAGAGAAAATAATGAAATAGGATACAGAAAAATAATAGAGAAAACACAAATGATATCTAGAGTAAACACAGGAAAGTTTTCAATATGACTCAGATTATTTAGTAGACATAAGCCTATTTAAGTCATCTGTTTCTTTTGGAATGAGCTTTGGTAGTTTACGTTTTCCAAGAAATTTGTTTATTATAAATTATCAGATTTATTGGCATATAGTTGTTTGTAGGATTTTCTTACCCTTTAATTGTCCATAGTGTCTATAGCAGAGGTCTAACCCCTGGGCTGCAGAATGGTATCACTTTGTGGCCTTTTAGGAACCCGGCCATATAGGAGAAGGTGAGCAGCTAGCGAGGAAGTAAGTAAGCAGAACTCCGTCTGCGATCAGATCCGCAGTGGCATTAGATTTTCATAGCAGCATGAACCTTATTGTGAACTGCGCATGCAAGGGATCTAGGTTGTGTGTGCTCCTTATGAGAAGCTAATGCCACCGCTGATCTGCACAATAAATGTAGTGTGCTTGAACCATCCCCCCATCACCTCTCCTCTGTGGAAAAATTGTCTTTCAAGAAACCAATCCTTGATGCCAAAAAGGTTGGGGACTGCTGGTCTATAGTGATGTCCTGTCTTTCATTCCAGATATTGATTGTGTCTTTTTTTCTGATTATTCTGGCTAGAGGTTTACCAATTTTGATCTTACCAAATAATTAATTGTTTTTAGCTATTACTTTTCTGTAATCTTTTTCACTAATCTCTTTTTATTTCTTCCTAGTTATTGCTTGCTTTAGGCTAAATTTGTTCTTTATTGTTCTAGTTTCTGAAGATGAAGGCTTACAGCGCTTAATTTGAGCCTCATCTTACTTTCCAGTTTAAGCATATAATGCCATACTTTTCCTCAAGCACTATTTTAGCTGCATCCCACAGATGTTGACACGTTTAGTCTTCATTTTCTAATTTCCCTTGTGATTTCTTCATTCACCCATGGATTATTTAGAAGTGTGTTGTTTAGGCTGGTCCAAAGGTAGTAAATTATCTC